TTAACCGCAATCATAACAGTAGCCTCAGACCGGACCGAAACAGTTTTTGTCCCTTATAATTCTTTAGGGAAGCATTTTTACTACGTCATCGACCGGGTGATTTGGAATCAGCGTCCAAAAATACACCGGTTCAGGTTACTTTCATACCCTGATTAGGACCTTTTTATTTCACACAATATTTTATTGAGACGAGCGATTTAGAAGGAGCGGATTATTTGAATTGTTTTGATATGGTGTGATGAAAACCCCGTTAATTTATTAAAATGGTTTTAAAATCGATGGTCATTCTTGTTTCTCAATTCTATGCGAAAGATTAAAAACTTGATAATCTAGTTGAGAACTTTATATTGGCTGTAACTAATACTATAAGTGCCTCAACTTTGACCCGGGGATATACTTTAATATACTTTAATATACTTTAATATACTTTAATATACCTATATTATCTCCATTAAAATTTTGAACCATATTAAAGTATATTAAAATGTAGGTTTTTTTCCAATTTTGACCCGGGATATACTTTAATATACTTTAACATGTTTAATATACCTATATTATAAAAATATATGTGAAAAATGTTGTTTTATTTCATGTATATAGATTAGATTTACCTTTCATGTAAAGTTAGTCTTGTTCAAAGATATTGATACTTGACCAATTTATGAGCCAAAATATATGAAGTATGAGTTCAGGGGACTAGCAACTGGCTTATCTTCTAATCTACTTATTGTAGGTATATTAAAGTATATTAAAATGTAGGATTTTTTCCGATTTTGACCCGGGATATACTTTAATATACTTAAATATGGTTGGTTGCCCCCCCCCCCCCCCCCCCCCCCCCCCCATATATTATGAATTTTAAAACCTATACCTGTTGTGAACTCGGAGATCATGATAACAGTATTCACTATTCATGGGGTTCCGGGTTGCTTGACCAAAGAGACTAAATTAGTTCCCCACAAAACTCTATTTCGAAATTATAGACAATGACAACCTTTAACATTTTTTAAGTCCAATTGCAAATGACAAAAGTGTAGCAAAGTCTGCTGATTACTGACAATTTAACAGAAACCTTAAAACCTAGAGGGGATATTAAAAACATATAAGTGATACGCAAGGATTTAATTAGCAGGAGCTTTCAAAATATTTATGTAAATCGTCTTCAGCTGACCTTCAGCTGACCTTCAAACACCTTTAAAGTTGTCTCCCTTTGAATCATCCGCCGAATGATCTGATCAGCTGCCGAATAAAAGCAACGAACAAAGAAACATCCGCCGAATGATCTGATCAGCTGCCGAATGATTGCAACGAACAAAGAAACAGGAAACAGTTGTAAAATGAAACGATTGAACAAAGAGATAAAATTAATTCCCTCCAAAAACTCTTATCCAACGAGAAAATATTGCACTGATTATATATGTGCAAATGCAATACACGAGTCTAACAGTTGCAGTAACTATAGACATGACTAACACGTCGCGCGCGGCATCAGAAATATGGGAGGAAATCTGGCACCACGATTTGTGGTGCCAGTTTGTGGCCATCTATAGAGCCCTCTTTTGCCGCCTACGGCGGTCGCGCGCTACTGCAAGCGAGAGGGCTCTGGTTAGAGCAACCCCCTCCCTTGACTTTTTTCCTAGAAAACACTTTTCTCTACGGCTGATTACGTAATATGTGAACGACCCCTTAAAAATTATAAATATCGTTTTTTAAGTAAGGGTAATTGGTGATACTTGAAAAAAAGTTACTGGGCCGCGCTCAGCCTGTCATTCCGCCTAATTTACCAACATTAAAGCCTGAGGTCCTCAGGTAAGAAAAAAAAGTTGCTCCAAATATTTTATTTTTCACGTTTTTACTGGACGGCCGCGGCCGCGCCGCCAATTTTGTTTCAACAGATGTTCCAAATATAATACTGTCGACGAGTACGCTATACCGCGAGCTCAACTCGGCGCGCGCGTCACGTCGTTTCATGGTGGGTTATAAACTTACATTACCTTGACACACGCTGCAACCCCTTTTGAGCGCGCGCCCACCGGCCGGCGTGCACGCTTCGCGTGCAGGAGAGGTATACAACTTGTAGCAAACATTACCCTGGGCCGGGACCCGGGGACCCCAGACTATCATATTCATGTTCATAATCCGAATAAAGATATTAAGCAAAATAATACGGACTGAGCGCCGCCCAGTGAAAACTTGTCATACGTTGTATGACCCACCGCGCACGAAGTGCGCGGCTCCCCCTGTATCGTCGAAGACGATACGCGGCTCCCCCTAGGTATTGTCGAAGACGATACGCGGCTCCCCCTGTATCGTCGAATACGATACAGACTATAGTGAAGCGACAGTGGGGGTCACCACGTGATACAAGTTAAAACCTACAACACGTTTGATTGACAATGCCAATTTGTTTTAGCATTTAGTTTTTGTATTCTTGTAGCCAGTTAAAGTAGAGCCAGTATAGCTGTAGAGCTCCGCTACGATCTCGTCACGAAGCTTATCGCAACCACAAATCGGTGAGATGCGAAGGATTGACATGTGTCTACGCTTGACCATTGTTAATGTGTCTACGCTTGACCATTGTAAATGATCAGGCCCGGCGCGCGCTACTTCGTAGCACTTGCCATTGGGCCATTTTGAGAAGAAAGCGGCGCGCGCTACTTCTGACTTCGAAGAAATTTAGACGAGTAACATCCGTCAAGTTTGTAGCGAGATGCGCTAACTGTACCGCGCCGAGCTGCCATGAATTGACATCGTCAATTAACCGTCAAGTCTACGCGTACTGGGTGACGCGCTTGTTAACGGCGATCGCGCGTTACTGCAAGCGAGAGGGCTCTGTTTGAAGGAATGATAGGCTGTCCGACTGTCTTTGAAACAAATATGCATGATGCATCATGCTTTAATTGGAATATTATGCACCCATTAAAAACAATAGATATGATATGACACAGGACCTAGCTTAACTCGATAAATTCATGCGCTCAAAATACCAACACAACATGGCAATTGACACTGCACACATGACACATTACTGGGCCGCGCTCAGCCTGTCATTCCGCCGAATCTCTATTCCGCCGAATCTCTATCATGTTTATGAACATAATAGCCTGAGGTCCCCCGGTAAATGATTGTCATACGTTGTATGACCCGCCGCGCACGAAGTGCGCGGCTCCCCCTGTATCGTCGAAGACTATAGTGAAGCGACCGTGGGGGTTGCACCTCGTGATACAAGTAAATTACACAATGCTTTGAAATAGATTAATTGTGTTTTGTGTTTGTTGCTGTCGAGCTCGATTTTAGATGTTTAAGTTGTTGCATTTCATAGAGATTGGTTTAATTGTCGATCCCATAGTATTTTGGGATCATCATGCATTGTGATGATGATCAATGCAGAATGACCTTATATCTCTACTATAATTCAGAGAATTCTTTTTGTAGAATGTATGTACGACCGCCCACGTGCAAATCAGACGAGAAATAGGAAGTTGCGTAGTTACCATGGTAACAAGGATTGTTACACGCACGTGCACGTGCAATGATTGTTTTAACGTCATTTTGATCAGTTTTGTCGATATTACGATGTGTTTAGTACGAGCAACATTTTAATTGGCTGTATCTTTGGTTGTGATGGATATTTTTTGACGCGATTTAAACTTACTAAGAAAAAATACTATCAATATCAGCTTCCTCCCTGTGACCACGGGTTTTCTAGTCTATTTATAAAACAAACGTTATCTACTAGTACTAGTATGTAGTAGTAGTAGTAGTATTACCTGGCACGTGAATACCAATGCGCGGCGCTCTTTCCTAGCTTCTCGCATTATGTGTGATGTGGGAGTTAGTAGCGAGCAATAGACTAGCAATGAGCAAGCTAGGTAAGTAGTAGAAAAAGCTTACTTTGTTAGTGCATCGTATTGGGATTGTGAAATCAAGAATGAGGAATGATCTTTGAGTGAAAACTGCATTATACCATGCATGATGCAGTGCATGCCATGAAGAACATTCCGATTTAATTAAAGGTATTTTTTGTGATTGGGTGGTAATATCACGTGATAAGAAGCTTATTATATAACGTGTAACGGTTGTCAGAACTTTATTAGGTTTTGGACAGATTGTAACTTACTTTGACGTTTGACAAATTGACATGATGTGATGATGAAGATCAGATGTAATCATGTTGCAATTTGTCAGGGATTTCATTGAACTGAATCAGATTCTGATCAAACCTATGACAGCCGAGGCGAAATTTTATCTTACAAGTAAATTTTATAATTATAAAACCGCATTTTTGAGCGAAAATCGCGCCTGTAGGCGTGCTCGTGATACGTTAAAACAACTTCCAACCTGACAGAATCATGATTAAGTCGGAATACTAATAGTAATAGTGATCACTAATCATAGTTTGCGTAGCATCCTTTATTTTCGTTTATACTACATTAACACTTTACCATTTTGATCTTAAATTGTCGTGTTTTACTTTGAATACTCCTTACTTGTTATGTAGCTCGTGCTATTGGTAAATGTTCAACTTTAAGTTAGTATAAGGATATCTGAATGATTTTAACTTAATAAATATTTCTCGGATACTGTTATACTGGGAAGAAATTTATTTTCAACAAATCATAAGCTTTTATCATCAATCATGTTAACAACCTAAAACATTCTAGAAATCAAACTTATTTCAAGATAAAATTTGATTAATCAGTTACTATTAGGGGTCGTTCACATATTACGTAATCAGCCGAGGGGGGGGGGGTTTGGTTGTTGATTACGTAATCAAAATTTTAATTTTTTACCGATTTTCGAAATACCAATTGGACAATTTTCGTTAATTATGTAATCAAAATTGTAATCAAATGTATCTCTACATCAAAATTTAACTCAAAAATGGGGGGGGGGGGGGGGGGGGGGGGGGGTCTTGATTACGGAGGGGGGGGGGGGGGGGGGGGGGGGGTTAAAACCTTGATTACGTAATATAGGGGGGGGGGGGGGGGGGTCTTGATTACGGTTGATTACGGAGGGGGGTAAAAATTGCCAAAATATTGATTACGTAATATGTGAAGTAAAATATGTCCCTTTTTAGTACTACTTCTCAAATAAAACTAAACGCAAATAATAAAAACTGAAAACCAAAAACAGCACACAGTTAAAATGTAGACAAAATGTCACTATATCACATTCTTTACACAATCAAAGTAAAATAACATTCTTGTGTGAATGGTCAATGTCTTTGTAAGGCAAAATAATAGAATTAAGAATCAGGGTTCCTTTAGAGATATTGGTATTATGACCTAGAACAGTTATATTGGGATTCAACTTCCCCTCTTCGTTAAACGTTCTGTGGATTGAAATTGTTACTGACCATTTTACTATAACATTCTTAAGATATGCTACTCTGAAATACAGAACCCTTAGAGAATTCTGAAGAATTAGACAAGTATTATACTCACGAAGGATAAGTGATATGAGCGAGGGGTTTGTTAGTATACTTACGGAGGATTAGTGCTATGAGCGAGGGGTTTGTTCGTATACTCACGGAGGATTAGTGATATGAGCGAGGGGTTTGTTAGTATACTTACAGAGAATTAGTGCTATGAGCGAGGGGTTTGTTAGTATACTTACGGAGGATAAGTGATATGAGCGAGGGGTTTGTTAGTATACTTACGGAGGATTAGTGATGTGAGCGAGGGGTTTGTTAGTATACTTACGGAGGATTAGTGATGTGAGCGAGGGGTTTGTTAGTATACTTACAGAGAATTAGTGCTATGAGCGAGGGGTTTGTTAGTATACTTACGGAGGATAAGTGATATGAGCGAGGGGTTTGTTAGTATACTTACGGAGGATTAGTGATGTGAGCGAGGGGTTTGTTAGTATACTTACGGAGGATTAGTGATGTGAGCGAGGGGTTTGTTAGTATACTTACGGAGGATTAGTGATGTGAGCGAGGGGTTTGTTAGTATACTCACGGAGGATAAGAGATATGAGCGAGGGGTTTGTTAGTATACTCACGGAGGATAAGAGATATGAGCGAGGGGTTTGTTAGTATACTTATGGAGGATTAGTGATGTGAGCGAGGGGTTTGTTAGTATACTTACGGAGGATAAGAGATATGAGCGAGGGGTTTGTTAGTATACTTACGGAGGATTAGTGATGTGAGCGAGGGGTTTGTTAGTATACTTACGGAGGATTAGTGATGTGAGCGAGGGGTTTGTTAGTATACTTACGGAGGATTAGTGATGTGAGCGAGGGGTTTGTTAGTATACTTACGGAGGATTAGTGATGTGAGCGAGGGGTTTGTTAGTATACTTACGGAGGATTAGTGATGTGAGCGAGGGGTTTGTTAGTATACTTACGGAGGATTAGTGATGTGAGCGAGGGGTTTGTTAGTATACTTACGGAGGATTAGTGATGTGAGCGAGGGGTTTGTTAGTATACTTACGGAGGATTAGTGATGTGAGCGATGGGTTTGTTAGTATACTTACGGAGGATTAGTGATGTGAGCGAGGGGTTTGTTAGGGTTGACGGCAGTAGGAGTTCCCTCTAGACGAGCCCAGCTACCAACACGAGTGCCGCCTCCCACCACCGTGTACAGAATACAGGCATGTTGATCTACCTGTCATGAATACAATATATGGGATATTGTAGAAATATCTACGAGAATATAGGGGGCATTTTAGAGAGTATTTTATTATATTTTAAATTGATCTCGCAAGAACTTGTTATTTGACAGGTGAAGACCGCCCAACCCTTCTTTGGAAGAGCTGAGTACAGCTCAAGGCGCGCGTCAGTAAGTTATAAAACTACAAATCGACGCAAGTGTCTGGAAGACAAAGTTATCAAATCGGTAGGTATAAATTTTATAAATTTCATAACCTACCGACTTAATTTTTTAAGTAACATAAACTACAAATTGTCTGGAAGATAAAGTTGTCACGTGATAAGCCGGCACTTAGTATACTGACCTGACAGCCCTCTAGTAGAATTGAGTGCTTTATCCTCACTCCGTCTTTAACTACTGTGTTTGCTCCGATCGTTACGTTAGGGCCCAGCACAGCGCTACTGGAAACCTGGAAACAGAAGATTTGAAACACTTCAGATCTCATTTCATTAAACATTTAATCGTAATTTGTAAGTAAATATAAGGGGTCGTTCACATATTACGTAATCAATATTTTAGCAATTTTTACCCCCCCCCCCCCTTCCGTAATCAACCGTAATCAAGACCCAACCCCCCCCCCCCCCCCCCCCCCCCCCCCCCCCCCCCCCCCCCCCCCCCCCCTTGACTTTTTTCCTAGAAAACACTTTTCTCTACGATTCGTGCTACCCTGATCATGCTATCATGATGAGCCGAAATCATTGTTATGATATCCGGCCAAGCACCTTCTAAACTACAGGGTGGGCCAAAAGTCAGTGGGCATGCCTTGACCTTAATAGCTCCGCCGTGTTTTATATTTGAGAGCTGTTGCTTTGCAGATGGCATACTGTACCTTCTGGTTCGAGGATTCCGTCGTCAAAATTTGAGAATTCGATTATTTTAGACTACGCCCATTCAAAATTAAAACACCTATATTGTTCTCTTTAAACATGCTGGACGCCTGATTTTTTCAGAGACGGTAGATTATTAAATGTTGCATTTGATCTGAAAAAATGACGTGAAACGGATTAGAAATGACGAAGTTATCGAGCATTTTGTGTATCTCGTCAACAAAATTGACTGGGTGAATATGTCACACCGTGACACGACACCTTAATTGGGCAGCCTTAACGATTCCCATAATGTTTAATGGGGTGGTTAACGGGGTGACCTTATCACGTGATCAGGTAAGCCAATCACCTGATCACACGCAATGAATAAACTCGTTATGCTTCGTATCTCGGCCATCTGAGAAGCTACAACTTTAATTTTTTTTTCAGGACAAACGTAATTCGAATAGCCAAATACAATGCAATAAAATTTAGCTCGATCCGACTATCCAAACTATCCAAACTATCAAATAAATGCAAAAAAGAACCTTCATTTGAAAGAAATGAACTCGATTTGACAAATTCCTCGAACCAGTGGTGGTAGTAAGTCGTGCCAGAAAGAATTGCTTCAATTGGTCACTCAGTGACTGAGCTATTACAGTATTAAGGCCAACGTATGCCCACTGACTTTTGACCCACCCTGTACTTACTATAAGTATTATAGCCGGATATTCGATCAATTTCTAAATTTTATCACTATCAGAGTGAAATTGAGTGGAATTTGAATTAAAAAATCAAATTTTTATTATTCTAGAGGGTAAAAAAGAAAATTTTGATAACGTAATCAGCGACCGAAACCCCCCACCCCCCCCCCCCCCCCCCCCCCCCCCCCCCCCCCCGTAATCAACCGTAAGCATTTGGAAACCCCCTCCCCCCTCAGCTGATTACGTAATATGTGAACGACCCCTAAGTAGATGTTATAGTGAATTTATTCCATTCTTCGACATTAAAAATGCCAAAAAAAGATAAAATCACTAATATAGTTTTAAACTAATTACGCCACTACAAATCTATTACATTTATTGAGGATGACTGTAAAGTTATATTTTACCGACATTAAGACTCTTACCTACTACATGTACCGCTTATCAAGGACCTTAGCGCTTTAAGACGTGTAACTAATACTATGTATAGGCGGTGCACGATAAAATAAACTTGCTCGGATTTTCAAAATTTTTGTACCATCGTTTTCTAAAGACTGTGAGAATTTTCACAGTACCAAATTTATCATACCTTTTTGGAATGATCAGTGAGTTTCGCCTAGGTGCCATATTTGATGGTGCGCGGCTTTTGGAGCAAAATTAGGTGTGAAAGTCGCGTAATTTGACGAAATTCGTTGATTTTTGTCGTATTATTTTGTCATATCTTCGGTTCCTGAACATGAATCATGCTGAAAATTTGTCAGAACCTTCCAATCATATTTAACTACCGAACCTAATTTAGTTGGGAGAGATTGGCCTTGACTAAGAGGTCTAAAAATGACAAAATAGGTATAAATTCGTTGATAACTCAAATTTTGAGCATCGAAATTGCTCAAACTAAATTAGGTTCAGTAGAACATAAGTGTTTACGTAAACTGACCAAATTTCAACAAAATTGTTATATGGGAAGTATTATAACTTTTCGATTGTTTCCAAAATAATGTGCTGGCCGAAATAAGAGCTAAAAAACCATTCAATGGTCAGCGCGCGCGTCTTATTGTCGATGGCGCACTGCCTACTATGTATTTTATAGTGCACACGGAATTTCAGAATGACGCGCGTCGCCCCAACACCTGCTCAGCTTATTGTAGCAGGTGGACAGCTAACCTGCTGCAATAAGCTATCAGACGACTAATACCTACATATCATTTTGATACCTAGATATTATTTTTTGTACTTGCTCTGAGGAGTGAGGACCTAAGGGGCTCGTGCTAGTTTCTACTGGGCAGCTGGTCAGCCGGTGCAATTCCCACGAATATCGTCGCTTTTGGCAATAATGTCGTTTAAATTTTGATAAGAGATTAAAATGTCGTTTATCTCGTAATATTGTCATTAATAGAATATAATGTCGTTTATCTTGTAATATTGTCATTAACAGAATATAATGTCGTTTATCTTGTAATATTGTCGTTAAGAGATTATAATGTCGTTTATTACCTAATAATGTCGTTTAAGAGGAGTGACATTGTGCCGGCTGACCAGCTGCCCCTACTATTTGTTAGTTATATTCATATTAGTTAAACTGCGCTGACATGTTCGAAGTTTCACACAGTTAATAGAGTTAATAATACACAGCATTTCCACAATAAAATCCGGAGAATGAGTTTTATAATGCGACGTTAATTAAGTCACCTCCTCTGAAAATAATTCAATGTATCCGCACATTTTGAAGAAACATACCTAAGATTTTAAACTTACATTAGCGGATGGATGAATTAGAACGTCTCCAATAATATTTGGACCTTTAGCCAGGGACTCGGCGTCCTCGTTCCTTCGTCTACTGAGGTAGTACTGGGACGCAAACACGGCCGTTCCTGGCGTCTTGATCTGGATTTTAGGGATATGATAATATTATAATATATTATTATTATGTAATAAAATATATGCAATTATCTGCACCTGTCTAGAGTCTACACAGTGGTTATAATGTCAGCAGGTGTTTATACATCTGAGGTATTGTTTCTTACAATAACTTATGCTTGCATTTAATTCATGCTGTAAATGGGGGTTATTTGAAGAATTGTCACATCAACAGAACAAATTCTTCAAAAGGGTTCAAAATTAATGAATTTATCTTTTATATTAGTCTCTACTGTCTAGTCATTGACTTCTGATTACTACATTTTAGTGCACTTGCGTCTAGTCAAATTTTACAAGAGACTTGGTTTAATAATATTAAACATTATGATCACAGTAATTTGGAGATTTAGTACATCCGATTTGATTTTTTGGTGGTGCCTATCAATCACGTTATTATAGCGTACTAAAAAGAATATTCATATAACGTACTTGTAACTTTATACGTTTTTGTTGATTTTCTATTTCGTACTTATAACGTATCTGTTGTGTTGCTATTAAGTTCTTTTTACGTATTTGTAGTGTTTATATTTCGGACTGATTTCGTAGAATCGCTATTTACCTCGTACCTGAGACCAGAATCCATTGTGACGATAAACGAAGAGTTTGCGAGTTCCTGCGAAGGTAGAAAGGATGTTCCGTTCTAGTTGGATACAGTCTGTACTGAGAGTTGCACTTTGTAGTTCTTGGAACACCTCCTGCAGGTTATTTTAGGTTCGGTTTTTTCGGGAGAATTTAGATTAAATATTACCAGAACCCCCTACAATTCAGATGGTGTTTTAACAACTCTCTATATTGGATTCCAAAAGATATCATTGAATTACCTTCATGTGGTCCAAGACTCCTATTCCGAGTACATATACCCCACAGTTGATTGTGTTGCTGACAAATGTCTCTGGCTTTTCCACGTAGTGCTCTACCTGTAATAAGGATTTGTCACACACAAGTTTTGTATTCATTCCGAGAGCACTTTATTAACGTCACTAATCAGTAATCATGTACCGTGATCTGACGTCATAGCTTCGGTCAGGATTTAAAACTGTAATTATTATGTTGAAACTGCTTTTTTACTAAGTTACGCGGCTGTGTGACCACGTGTGACCGCTAGTTCCAAGCTTAAGACACGCCTTTATAATATCTCTACATCAGGCATAAATTAGTGTCTTTTAGCAATCAGGCAACAATATGAAAATTAATTTTTTTAAACAGTTATTACAACAGAAAAGTATTTAAAACTAAACATTCTGATCATCAAACAAGTATCAGATGATATTAAAAAATATAACACGACTTCATACACATTGTAAATAATAAACTTTGTAAATAAAAATGTCGCGCCATGAAAAAAAAAATTAAAACATGCATTACAAAAAGTTTATTTTTCAAAAAAACAAAAAATGTTCGATCAAAAATTCAGACATGTCATAAAAATGATTGTTCGGCGATAATTCCTCCAAAGATTTATCCAGACAATCATCATCATCATCATCAGTTAAGATACAGTGAGTCAAGGCAACCGTGTGCAAGATTATATTACATGGACATGTCAAGGTGTGTACGGTGGTGGGTCATCTCTTCGAGGGGGAGCAGGGGGGTACAGATTATAAGGGGCGTACTGACTTTGAGATGCTCCTGGAGGTGCGTTTGGAGGCAGAGCAGGAGGATCTCTTTGAGGCAGAGCAGGAGGATCTCTTTGAGGAAGAGCAGGATGATCTCTTTGAAGAAGAGCTGGGGGGTACTGTTGAGGGGATCTAGAAGGGTACTGTTGAGATGGCCCAGGATCATGCTGTTGAGGGGGTACCTGGGAAGGTCCTTTGCCATACACGTTAGGATCTGCAGGGAGGTGCTGTTCAGTTGTAGCATAAGACTGAGGAGCGACTGTTACCACGTTCTGTACCACAATAACTTGCTGACTTGCAAAAGGGATGGCTGTTTTGCATTGTTGTCGTTCCTGGATCAAAGAACAACAAGGACAACAACAAATGGCCAGTAAATCCAAACAGCAATTAGTGTGGATCCTGTATTTTCTCCTGATGCCAGGTCTGATGCAGCAACACCAGGCACAAACTGCAAATGGACAGAAGAACATTATACAGCCACAGAACGCCCCACAGCAACCTCCACAGCAAGTCCCAGAATCCCGGGCATTCAAACCGAAGGTGATGCACGGAAAACACCATGCGAGCAGACACTCTCCACAGTCGTCAAAACACCCAAACAGACTGTGACTCCATTCGTTGTTCCATTCATTACCACCCCCTTGGTTTATAACAGTTACTTGCTGGTTCATTGTGGTAACTCAATCTGTGTGACATGAAGATAATTATGTTATTGTGATTCAAGTTCTTAAACACATGCTCATGCAAACTGTATGTCAACTGTAACGAGAAGATTCACCCAGGTCTAAGGTGCACTTTCCGGACAGATAAATCATAAACATTTATTTTGATATATCACTCAAAATATATTGAGCTAGGCTGAGTGACGAGTTTTAAGGTATATAAAGTCGCACTATTAAAAATGATTAATATCCTGAATACTAGATTGCTACCCTTGGGCTTCAGAAAGGTTCCACAGTGAAAAATATCAGTGAAGGTTTTTTCAGACCAGCAAATAACTGATCGTAGGTCTTCTGGGCAGACTTGAAGTTAAAGGACCAGTTAACTGAAAAAAAAGTTATCCTCATATTTTGACAGATTGTGACAAATAGCAAACTAAGCAACGAGTCGAAATTCCTAAATCTCTAACTGCTCTCTAACGCGTGTAATTAGCGTTTGTATTATTTTGGCGATGACGTCATAAAGTCCCTTGCGCGCACAGAGTAGCTCGTGAGACTGTATTTTACAGGTAGAAAATGGACATAATACAATGTTTCTCCCCCAAATAACTCGGAAGTAAGTATTTTAGGGTACATGTTGCTTCATAAGTTGTATATAAACATGGCCATTCTGCACAATTTGCACTCATTCAAAAATCTGTAGGGCCTTCATAGCCCAATTTACGAGATGCCCATATTTTAGCATGATTTCTGGAACCGAAAATCAGTTTTTCGCCAACAACTGAAAAAGTAAGCACTTTAAGGCATATGTTTGTTCGTAAGTCATATATTAATATGCTAATTGCGGTTCTTTTGCACCCTGTCTAAAGACTCTATCACGATCCTATCGAAAATGGGCTCAGCACCACGCCCAAAATGGTTTTTGGCAAATTTCTCGAAAAGTAAGGATTTTAGGCCATGTGTTGCTCAGTAACTCCTATATAAACATGCATATGCCGCTTGGTTTAAGCCTATTTAGAAGTCTCTACGACCTTCAGAAGCAAGGGGTCGGTTACGTTATTGGGTCAATATGGGCGTGGCCCTCCTGGGTTTTCTCCACGGTCAAAAAATGTCTCCAAACGAAAATCGTTTATTCAAACCTTCAGGAAGGTCTGTGCAAAGTTTCGTGAGTATTTGAACATTTGCAGGTTCATTTCCATAAATGTCCATAAATGACTGGACTACACAACTTTAGAGTTAACTTTAGAGAAACTCATAAGTCATTTATCTCAAATTAAGCTGTTAGTGTCCATGATCAACCTGTGGCGACAATGTTTAACGTGAAATGTAAAAATCAGGAGTAATATAAAAAGTGTATTTTTAGATTAAAGTGCTAGCTCATAGTTTTAGAATTGTATAGATTAACGTTGGTCGTTTAGCCATCTAACAATCGATCGTGCCGTAATATATGGCCAGAGAATAATAGGGTCTTGGAAATTCTATAGTTGTTCAGTGGGTCAATTGACTGAAAACGTTTGCACTTGGTATTTAAACTTACCAGTAGTTTATTTATGTTATGTACCGATGATAATGCAATTAGGATAACAACTAGGTAAGCCGTAAGTCTAATTCAAAACACACCGCACACCGTACACACCAATCAGTATTACTATTTGGTAGACCGGGTATTTTGGCGGGAATTCTGTTCCCACGGCACTGTTCTGATAGAAGCTACTTCTACTAATGGTCCCAGAGGAACGGCCGTAAAGTAGCCAGACTTCTTGTCTCCTGTACTGGCTGACACATGTGGATTAAAGTTAGAAATTCCGCTATGATATAAATATAATTGCTCTCGGAATTGAACAAACTCCTACTTATCTAGATCCTTTCTAAATTCGTTAGAGTTTCATGGACTGGGGAAAAATAATCGGTACAGTCTCCCTGCTTGTGTAATTAAGCAATGAAAACAATCCAAAATTATCACATTATATGACATAAGTTGTAATAGCAGAAACTTTCTAACCGCACATTCACCCGCCACTGTTCAAGAAATTATGTCACTGTTTAAAATCATGACGTGAGCACTGTACATACAATCAGCTATTCCTTTAGTTAGGATGATTGCCAAAACTATAAGGATTTTGGAGAACTAGGGTAATAGTCATAATTCTAAAATTTGAGTGAGTTACACGTGTTTTATTGACGATGATAAACATTTGCAATGTATTACGCTATGCAAGCGCGCACTGAGGGACTTTATGACGTCACGACGCCACAGCTTATTATTGCAATAACACGCGTTACACGTACGCTAGAGAATTGGTTCTTTCGGCGATACGATTCTTTACCAGTTTGTCACAGCTGATTTAAATCTTAGCCAAATTGGAGACTAAAAATTTTTCAGTTAACTGGTCCTTTAAAGTTTGTAGAGTTTAAAATGAACTTCTTCCAAACACTAGTAAGAACATTGTTTCTTTTAAGTGTTGTTATTTCATTATCAGCTATTTGTACAATAAGCATTCGTTTAATTATCATAAAGAATCCGGCTATTTTGAGCTTCTTAGATTAATCAGTAATTCTCCGGAAACAAGACTAACTGAAATTAATCTGATCATGCTCTGACCTCAAAATCCGCCAAAATTTTGGTTTTGATGAAAGCGATTGGGTGGGGAAAATTAGCAATTAGCATGATCTTGACTTTTGCTTTTACAATTGGACATGGATAATTAGCCATTAGGATATGCCTTATTATACGAAATTAAGTTCGGTTCGATTTATCACGTCCGCTTTACACGTTGAAAATAGGGAATTTCAGCGCTATTCAGTAAAACTTTAGTCGGCATGAATTCGTTTAACGTAATTTGTTAGCACTGATAGTTATTCGCATGTTTTCTAAATTACTGTAAGATATGCTTTAAATACATTTCATTGCATGAGGACATTTAATGTTGGTCACCTCGACCACGAGCTTAGACTGGGTCACATTCCAGACCATCAAAATAGGAAGTAAGTGTTTAACTCTCCTCATCTATTTAATGGAGGGGAATAATCACAGTTTTTAAGCTTAAAGTCAAAGCTAGCGTCGCGTCGGGAGCTCCAAAAGTACGACAAAAAACAGGAAACTGTTGCTCAACAATCGAAGCATATGATCGTGTTTAACGAACAATTCCTGCTTCAATCCTCTTCCTACTACTTTGCGAAGGACCTTCGTGTGACGAGAAAATGCAGAACGCTTAGTTCCGGATATTTAATCTCATATTAAAATCTCAATGTTAAAATGTGACTAATTAATGTTATTATGCTTGAATGTGGAATTTAAGTTCAATGTGGTAGATATTTAATTACACTATACAGGCTACATCTAAGGATATTCAATCTCATTATTTATAATTTTAGCGTTAACACTCAATTTTCCAAGCCTCAGGAAGGAAAAATTGCACGGAAAATCTAAATGTCCGAATAATAGGGGTACAATTAGTTAACACATGTAAACTGTTAAGAAAATCATCCAGTCAATCGTTATGTAGGATAAGCCATCTTTGGTGTGATGTCAACATCCAATAAGCTTCACTGTTAACAATAAATGTATGTAACTTGGATAAAGAATACATGAGAGAGGTCCAGCAGACCAGCATGCGAAATTTATAATTACACAAACCAACTGAGCATCATAAGCAAGCAATTTTGAGCTGATTTTGTTCTGATTATTATTTGTCTGGGAAAATATAATGAAGCTGATTATGTATAATCGCATTATACATGTTACATGAGACCTAGAAGCAGCAAATCAGAAAACAGGAGGGATTTTATGGCACATATATCTATTTATAGCACATATATCTATTTATAGCACATAATCTAACTTAAGAACCGGTTCAAAACTTAAACTTAGGCGAGTAAATCTTGAGCAGTGTAATAGTCAAATACCACAAATATCTGCAAAACAAAAGAAAAACAAAAGAGTAAGGGTTCGTGAGTCCTGGAGATACAATGAATCAAATCAATTAATAATGACACAAGCATCATCGTACGTCATCAGAAATTAAACTACATATAATGCCTTTATGTGACTAATTAATGTTATTATGCTTGAATGTGGAATTTAAGTTCAATGTGGTAGAACGATATTAAATTACACAGGCTACATCTAAAGATGATCTCATTTTCAGTTGCTAGGGAACTAACTAAGGTTGCTATGGTGACCATGGCAACCTTCCAAACTTAAAATACACCATTTAATTTCATGGCTTTTGAGTAACTCAAACCGTAGGTTATATCCGGACTTTTAGACCACCTTATTAATTTCAAATTTAATCACATCTTTTCAGACTATTAGAAATACAATCCAAATCTTGATATTCATAAAATTGCTCTCAAATAATTTGTCGTTTTCTCTCAAAAGCTCCCTCAAAATTCGTTGGAGATTTTCAGCGAAGTGTTCCAGGGTTATAATTCTATCGGCAGACAGCCCGATTAGGAATTTCATTTTCTAATATGAAAATATGTTGGCATATAATTATACCGCTTCAGGTATCTATTTCAATTTGAACCACTTTAATTAGTGCAGACGATCCCGACATCAGCATTCCCGATGTATTTTCCCGATCGGGAAATTATTACAATTCCAATATTTTGAGTATACATTTTCAGATATTCGATCAATAGACCTAGACCATTGGATATTTTGATCGGTATTGACCTCTATTTACTTTAATCTTTAGTTTTTCACCATAGTATCTCAATTTGGTTAGTGTCAGGAGTTAGTTATATTATATTAGTTCTAGGACCACTCAAACCAAGTTTGGGAATCACTGCAAGTCTAGAACCGATGTTACCAATGTTCCAAAATGTTCCAATTTTGTCACAATAATCCTCCTGAGAATCCAGATTTTTGGAACATGGTCACATCGAAGTATTGGCTGTATTTAAGTGCTGGGAAGTCCAATTCGGTTTTCTAAGATGGATATATGTAAAAACTAGGTTGAGTTCCTCGAGCAACCAGACACTCTATGACAGCTCATTTGCTGTAAGAGGACCAAAACTGTGGAACAAAGTGCCTGATAATATTAAAGCTGAAGCTACGTTTGAGTCGTTTAAAGTTAGTTTGTCCAAGTTTATTGCTTTGATACCGGACAACCCTCCGACTTCCGGTTATAGCTGCAGCTGGTCTAATTCCCTGGTAGACTTCTCGCCATCGAGGTGGTCAGAAATCTGATGACCCTTCCTGCTACGAGGATAAACACAACCAAAGTAAGTAACTAAAGTAAGTAAGAGCCATCAAAAGTCAAATAACATTACCCAGGTTCATGGAATGAACGAAAATGAATATTGTCCTAAAAATGCTCAGAACGGTTTAAAATTGGTCGAAAAGTGTTTAAATTGGTCCTAGGACCACTCAAACCAAGTTTGGGAATCACTGCATGTCTAGAACCGATGTTACCAATGTTCCAAAATGTTCCAATTTTGTCACAATAATCCTCCTGAGAATCCAGATTTTTGGAACATGGGTACATCGAAGTATTGGCTGTATTTAGGTGCTGGGAAGCCTCAATTCGGTTTTCTAAGATGGATATAAGATTTCGTTCATTCCATGAACCTGGGTAATGTTATTTGAGTTTTGATGGCTCTTAGGCCTAGTTTTTTTTACCTATATCCATCTTAGAAAACTGAACTGAGCCTTCCCAGCACTCAAATACGGCTAATACTGCGATGTGCCCATGTTCCAAATTTATGGATTCATCTACTGAGTGTCAGCCTGCTCGATCGATCGAGCGGTCGCGGACAGGCCGGCCGGCCGAGTACGTGATATGAGCGCGCATGTGCGCGTAAAAATCGCGTGACAATCCCACCAATAAAAGTATGGCGCGTTCCATAAGAATGTTATGAAGACCCTTTCACAGGAGATGTACTCTGGGTTTTGTGGCACCGCCCCAATCTTGTCATCAATTATTTGCTCATTATCGAGCTATTAGTTATTACCAGGATTATTCTACCATATTATAACTTAATCCAAATTTAGCTATTAACAACTATGATTGATATCAATTATCGAGATTTGGGCAATTAATTAGGTCAGATAAAGTCCCCGTCCTAGTATTACAAGGAAGAAAGTGACACTATTATTATGATTACCTCGTTACTATTAGCATCGTTAGAAACAATACAGCCATACAGAGCGCTGTGAGCTTTCTCCACTTCCGTTCCCATAACCGTGATAACATCGTCCCGCCTGAAATTAGTGCTGACTGTACGTAATGCGTTATGTCATGGGTAACTGAATATGTAATTGATTTGTTCATTGAACTTAAATTATGGTAAGTAACTGATATCATGTTCGATCTCGTTACGTTATGCATTCTATCTTAAACAGACGGTAGGGGTTACAGTACTTGATCCGGTCTCTGATTTTAATACGAACTGGATAAATTCGGGTTTCTGAACTTGAACATGGCATCTTCTGCAGCAACACAATTTGGAAATACTTTGAAGTGTGTATACTAGAACATATTGAGGAATTTCATAGATATTTTCTGAAGATTCTGTCAATGGGGATTGGGGAATGTAGCAATGAGGAATAGATACTTGCTAAATACTGGATAACTCATCTCACAGTTAGATTCTACATTCTTTATAGTATCTCATTCCATAGATAAGAGAGCTAGGGTCAGTTAAAAGGTTCTTGAAGGTTCACGCAAAATCCTACTTTTGATATCCTGTAACTGTACCTTCAATAGCTAGGTTGAAGTACATGGTAGGACCATCTGCTGAATGAGGGACTCTTCTCTGGATGTAAAGGTGGACATTGTAATCAGTATCAAAAATAGCATTCTTGAGATTCATCTCTTCCATAATATCCACTGCTTATATATAAGTACTACACACCTACTTCGATTCTTCCAAAATTACAGGCCTCACAAAATGACAGTCCACATTCACATTGTAGCTCAGGTTTCCTAAAGATTGAAACTTATTATTTTTGCTACATATAAAATTTTCCAAGAAATGGTATTAATGAGCACTTTCCCAAGGAATGAAAATGAGCTAGGAATCATATTTCTTACATAAATATGAGCGTTTGTGCTGTTCATTCATTGCATCGATATTAAATACCGTAGATCTAGATAGTAAAACCTGCAAAATCAAAATTCCTTTTTTAGCGTCATTTTGTGAGGCATGCACCTGCCTGATTAATTTGATTCTACTAATAATCTCGGTGGATGCGCTTGATGTCGTGATTGCGATTTCATTTTCTCTTATCAAAGAATTAGTGATGCAGTTTAGGCAGGATCAGAGGCCGCGATATGTTATGTGATTAGGTCTCTAGTGGGCCTCTAGTAGGTCTCTAGTAGGTCTCTAGTCTGGTGTCGAGGTCGGTTCACTTCTCAGCTCTGTGAGGACCGCGTAAAAGCATCAGTCGGTCTGAAATATTCTTTAATCTGTTAGTCCGTACTTCATCTTCAAACCACCAGTCCAAATGGTCGGGTTGGTGCAGCCTGCTGGAGGAGCCAGAAAACAGCGCTCTACAGCATTTGGTTGGCTCTGTGAACAGTGATCTCTTCTAGTTGTGGGATGCTGGTGTGAAACTCTGGAATAATGGTAACATTCTTCCATTAGCGAGCATGGACAAACCAATTCCATGAATTCCATGGATTCAATGAATTCCATGGATTCAATGAATTCCATGAATTGGATATAATATAATGCTATAGAAATTCATTTTAATACAATGATATAATATAATAATGATAATAATAATAGGCTGTCATTAGAATGCGCTAATTGAATTGTGTAACAACACCACTATATGAGACAAGAGAAACGCCATCTAACATCTTAGGACGCGAGGAGGATTAGGACTCCTCGGGGCTCGGACTACATCAAATCAATTCCTTTTGCAACGTTCTCAATAAATGTAATAGATTTGTAGTGTTGTAATTAGTTTAAAATGAATATAGTAGCGTGACGTAACAGTGCTAATCAGTGTTCGGTGCTATGTCTACTCCACGCATACACGACTACAAGTTATATTGACAACTGTGAAATAGTTCCCAACTTACCCGTGTCGTAGGTGGCTATTGAGCATGTTCTGCAGTGGAAAGTCACAGCACACGTCCGCATTCAGCACGAAGAAACTGTTAGGGTTCCCTTTCCTGATGTGATCTCTGAAGTGGAATATTCCTCCTGCTGAAATAATGTATTATTAAGTTTGACCACCCAATTAGGACTGCTTTCATGGCAAAAGATCCCATTAAATGATAAGATATTGGTCATAAATCAATTAAAATCTCGAAGATTAAATTTTGATCTCAGATTTCAACTAAATCGGTATTTGTTTAAGTGCTTGAGTAGTTTCGATATATCTGTGAATTTACAAGTTTTAATGATTTCTTGAACAAAGCATTAGTGCACTTATTTTCCCAGCAGCAGTACAACACTATTCAAGACTTTCCTTTAATTTCTAATTCTGTACTAACAAGGTCAGCCTCTCTGTCGTAGAATTACTCATGTAAACTACTGGATACAAAATTGCCCTGTTCCAAGACCTTTGTGTTTTACCATTATAATATGTGTGCACAAAACGGTCACGAGACTCAGAGGCCAAACAAAAATAATTTCCAACAAAAGTTGTTGCTCAGTTAATTGCTTATTATGAGTCTCCACAACATAATAGTTTAGTTGATCTAAATAGTTTTCACGTTTGGTCTTGAAGTCTAGCTCCTGCATATGGGCACGCAATATCATATGACAAAACTTGTGAAAACCACCTCCAGTTACAGCTACTTAGGTGTCAATTTAATGTGCGAACACTGTTGTTATGGCTACTTAATACATTAGCATGACCCGGTAAGTCGTCACTCGGTCAGTGCATACTATTTAGTTCTGATATTATCGTCATGATATTAATTATTGTTTCTTCTTTGTTGCAACTCAGCCCTTACTGCATTCGATTCCTTCTAAACCACTACTTGTTTAATGTTTAAGTTGTTCTGTTCTAATTTCAAGAACACAATATGATTTCGTACTTTTAACTTGGTACTTTTAACTTCAGCTAATAATAACGTATATTAACTATATAATACACTCTGTTATTTGTAATATAATACACTAAATATAATATACTCTTTAACTTAATGAGTTACTATAATCATGTGAGCAATTAACCATTCCTTCCTTTGTGCCCGTCTGTCCCTTTGTATCAGTGTCTGTTATCGAGGTACTTTTGGTAGACTCTTTTGTGTGTTACGATAAGAACAGCTCAATATTCATTTGTTATCGTTAAATTGTACAAGTAAAGCTTAATTACCTGTCTCGAATGCAAATAATAGTGACTTTAATTATCATTTAATTGTCCTCTAATTTATCTTTTATTTATCCTTTTATCATCGATAAAGTGTTTATATTTCGTTTTTATACGTGTCTTCTTAAAGCATTCCAAGTGTAAAGTAATTTTAGAGTATAATTAGAGTGGAATATAAGCGATTGCAGATTGTTGATCTGATCAGCATAAGCATTAATAAAGCTGATGAATCGTTCTAAATGTGATTATTTAAATATTTAATGCTTCTAATTCTAATTACTAACTTATCGGCTAGCTCAAGACATGAAGGCGTCGTCCCCTGTAAAACAAAAATCTCCCCGCAAGGAACTCCCAGAATTCAAACGTTTAAAACCGCAGAAAAGCGAAGGACTTCTCTCAGTCAGGTCAGGCTGCAGTACTCTAGCAGACGAATCTGACAGCATCTACATTGACAGTGACACGGGCCGCTCAGAATCTGATCTAGCAGCAATTGAGAATGGGTTGTCATGTTGGTTATGTCACAAGTTGGAGGTGGAACCCCTGATGTTGGCGTGTGAGTGTTCCCTGCTGACCGGTGCTGTCCACAAGGATTGTCTCATCAACTGGATGAACACATTTTTCAAGGGTAGATGTCCACGTTGTGTCTACATGTACAGAGTTATAACGGATAAGATAAGTTGGAGACATTGGACAGCTGACCCGCTCATTAAAGCTCAGAAGACTAAATATATTCTGATCGGAGCACTGAATGTGGTTGTTACGGTGGTTTGTTTTGTTTGTTGCATTCACCTCCTGACATATGCGGGAAATCAGGAGCACAAAAGAGAACGTATTATCATCTCAATAGCTGTGGCGATCGGTTACGTATTTTACGTGTTTTACCAGGGGAAGATCTACGTGAGAATGTACGAGAGGTTGAAGATATATAATAATCGGATATGGAACGTGTATGATGTGAATGACAGTGTGGGTTCTCAAGTTAAGATCAGGGGAAATATGTCCAGCTTTGTCAATTTCTCCGATTTGAATCCAGTATAGTGTTGGCAGTGATTTTGTATTGTTGTTCATGTTGTGTATTTTGGGGTAATATTTTATTTTTACATTATTGGGTTGTAAATTTTAGACATCATAATGCATGTTAGTCATATTTCATAATTTAATGGCATGCAATTTATTCCATATTTGATTCTCATGAAATGTATTTCGGATTTGTAATTTCTGTCTCACCTGTACCAAGAGGTTTGTACTCTTGTAGATAGGTAACTGGAACTCCATATTTGTTTGATACCTGGAATGGCATAAATTGTGTATTTTTCATTATGAATAAAAAGTATAACCTTGTTTAACCGTTACTATTTTATAATATCTAACATTGATTGGGACACAAAGTTCTAACTACTATGCTAAATCAATCCAGGTCTTAACATTTTTCGTTCTTAAATTTGTATTACAAAACTTTACCAGAGAACTAACACTGAAACTCACCTTTCTGGTGAAGTTGGATATGTCTGACGTCGGTTCCGACCCAATCAGTATTACCTGCGATTAGTATACTGTTTTAGTATCGGCAGTTATCTTTAGTAGAGTGCTATATTTCTGAAAGTTAGATTGCAAGTTAAACGTCACGATGTTTAATGTTTATCAGGACTGAATACCGAACCTCTTGCATATCATTAAGTTCACTGCACGCCTTGATGTGGTGCTCTATCATAGCCCTGCCAGCCAGAGGGAAGAGAGGTTTAGGGACCTCTAAAGAGAGTGGCCTGAATCTTGTTCCTTTCCCCGGACCACCAACCAAAATAACAGCTTTCACCATACTCTTACTGAGGTAAATTATTGTTAAACATTTAGAAACAGAATACAAATAAATCGTAAAAGTGAAGTGAAATGTTGTTAACAAGTTATTAGCTCGTACATCATATTTAGAGATCGCAGAATTTCAATCAACGTTAATCATATTATTTCAGATCTAATGGTGATTCTTGAATAAAGTAACATATCAGTGATGTTATTAAGGGATCAAGCAATGAAACAACCTTTTTTCTCAAAAACCTAGAGTTAAAAAACTATACTCAATCAAGAAAATTAAAAGATTTCAAATAGAAACATCAACATCTCAATTTAAGCTCCTTTCGGTGGTGGTATATGAACAGCAGTTCTCTCATTAGTAAAACTATCTTTAATGATTGCCTCAATGCTACAGTCCTCCAGAATTTCAAAATGTAACGAAACTTTGCTCTTATCATCTGATCCAGCCACCTCTGCCTTAGCAATACATTTACCATCAGCCTCTATCACAATAACATTTCCCTCAGGCAGTTCAATGTCTGTTTTATATGGAAGGGGCGTGTTTTTAGCGACTGCTTGTGTCACAACATCTCCTACTCTTACTTCAATATTACTGGGGGTAAGAGGGATTCCGACCGTGCCGTTACCTTCCACTTCTGATTTAGCGGATAAGTTGGGGAACTTAGAGAGCATTCCAGCGTGTGTAGCAGCGCCGAGTGAGATGATCTCGTCAGGTGCCTGGCTGACAATACTGGACTCAGGGAACAGTTGGCTGATGATAGATTGTACTTTGGGGACTTTACAAGTGCCTCCTGTAAGAACTACTCTGGTTATGGAGATGGAACTGTGTTTGGTTACCATTTTCTGCACGGTCTCCTTTATCTTGTTCAAATCGTTCTGTATTAAAGTCTCAAACCTAGGTCTTGAGAGGTTGGAGATGAGATCCATTCCGTCGAACAAACTTTCTATGCTACATTCTGCTGTGTTTAAGGTGCTAAGATTATGTTTAGCACTCTTTGAAGCCTTCAAAACTTTGCTGTAACTCCGTGGATTTTCCTCTACTTTACATCTGTTCTTCCTGTTGAAATCATCACACAAGAACTTCCCTACAGACCGATCAAACAGGTTTCCTCCAATTTTCTCCTCTGTATTATCAACAACAGAATACATTCCAGCCACAACTTTTACCACAGTGACCGCCATGGAAGATCCCCCAACTCTTACGACGGCAGTGTGTCCGTCAGCAGGTTTAGCAGCGCTGTCAAGAGACAGCAAAGCAGCAACTGATTCCGGTATCAGATCTAGGACGTTTAAACCAGCGGAGATGGCACAGTTCTTGACGGTCTTCCTAAACTCCGGTGAGGATGTCAGTGGAATGGAGATGACAGTGTCGTGTTTATCTTCACCCAGCGCACTATCTGCTGTTTCTTTCAAGTTCTCAAACACACATTTAACCAATGCACTGACACCTTTTCTGGTTGCATTGTTAAAATTAACTATAATTTCCTCGCCGTGCTGCTCCAACTTGCAGGCTTGAGACGCGCTGTCCGCACTCTCAAGTTTGCAAGCCAGCAGACTCTTCAGACTGCTGACAGTGTTAGCAGGCTGTCTGACTGTCATCTGCACTGCGGGTGTCCCTGTCAGCAGCTCTCCTTCTTGGTGCGCCACAACGGTCGCTGTGCTGCGGTCTCCTGCGCTGTTTGCTACTATCTCTGATCTGCCATCTCTACACACCGAAACAAACGCGGACGAGTTCCCGAAAGCTATGCCAACACCAGACATCCTAGAATAGTGAGATCGGTTACAGAAATGTAAAATTCTGTAGGTATGTTGGTAATTAAGTAATAGCATATTATCATAAGAGTATTATACCCAACATTGACCGGCGAACTGATAGCTACTTCAAAAGCAATGAAACTACAATCTTCTAGATAAAATGAGTCATAGTACTTTCAGCCGGAGCCATCATAAGTGACATAAATCTAAAAGATAGTATGGTTAGTTTCTAAATATAAACTCAAACTCTGAAAAGGAAACTGCCGTGAAATATGAAACATCAATAAAAGGACCAATTATTTAAAAAAAATAATTTATGGAAAGCCCCTCAGGCAAAATAAAAATCAATTATGCAATAAAGGAATCTTAAAAGGGTTTGTACTATTCATTCCTGAGGGGCGGAGGGAATTTAAGGCATGTATATATCGGTGCTCCTTAACATCTAAACTACTAGGACTTGAATTTTCTAGGATACACACTGAAACAGTATGTAGTAACATATAAGTGCAATGTCATAGTCTGTGTTGTGCAACAATTAATTTGATAAACACGACTTGTTTTACATTCTAAAATGTACTTTTCTGGACTTTGTCTATTGACCTGGGACAGCTTTGCATAATGGAGGACAATCAGTCATTAGTAAATATAAACTTAACTCATTGGTGCAAGTTTTGACACAGAAGAAAAGTACGTCATAAAAATTCTAAAAATAGAATCCATTAAATCAATACTTATTAATCATTAAACCAAACAAATCGTTTCAAATCGTTAATCATATCTGTTGTAAGAATTCAATGATATCCAAGCTTTTGACTTAAAACTTTTTTCATTGAGAGTCACTTCACCAAGATTATATACATACACGACACCCCACAAATTAATACTGCCCAGATAATCCGATTGATACCCAAAATCACATTCCACTAAATACACATAATTAATTGTTTTATTTCAAGAGGGTCACCCTTGAGGGGGTCACACTTTGAGGAAAATTAAGATCTTCAAAATGGTCAAGTTTAAATAACTGCTATTTGAAAATATGATGTTCAAATTACAACGAAAAGCGTTTAGTTGTCTTAAACAATTTACAATGACAGATCACTTCAAAAAATGTCTGATATAAAACTCTCAAATTTCCCAAAATGACAGGATTTCTTGTACAAGACTACAAGGTACATTTAACACCTGTTCCTCGCATAGAACAATAACCTCCGGGGTTCTTGTGAAGATACTGTTGGTGGTAATCTTCAGCATAGTAAAACACATTGTCCAGTTTTATCTCTGTCGATATTTCGCCTGCACAATTGAGAGGGTTTCATTGATGGGTTATGGAAAGGGGAGGGTTTAAATTAAAAATGCCTTTCAGATAAGTGAAACCTGCTCCCTTGAGCCATGGCTTACTGATTGATTTATATAATCTTATCTAGATGGCTGCGTAATTAGCAATCATAGCCAAAATACCTCTAATCCCTCTGTCACTGAGGTTCTGTTGATATTTCTCTGCACTTTTCTTTGCTAGCTCCAAATCAGTTTCATCTTCACAGTATATGGCAGAGCGGTACATTGGACCTGAGTTTTGTGGTTGGTCATTGCAACATTCTGCCTGTACTTAAATTTTTGTAAATATCATGCTATGAAGCTACAATGACAGTATACAAATATTCATACTGCTAGGAAAAAACCTAATAACAAGTAAATAATGATATTGAATATGCTTAGAAAATCAGATATTCCTTTCAATAGACTCAACAAATCTAAACCACCTGTATCATTTCCTTGTCTATCTTTGGTGGTTGGATTGTGGTTCTCCCAAAAGTTCTTTAGTAGAGCACTGTATTTCACTTGCTCTGGATCAAAAATAACTCTCACTACCTCAGCGTGTCCTGTTGCACCTGTACACGTCTCTTGGTAAGTGGGGTTCTTAGTATATCCTCCAGCATAGCCAGCCTGAAATATCAAAATGATCTTTCTTAATTAATAATAGTAATAATATAATAAGTTGCAGATAGGAGTTTGGTAAGGATTTGGTGCTTCTCTAATTGGCATATAAAATGTTAGACCTGTAAATGACCAACATCATGGATGGAGAAAATGGCAAAAAGTTTGCTAAGTTATCTTAGCTTTTTGACAAGTGAAGCCTCAAAAAAACCATTTATTGAATGTTAGAGATCGAGATTATTCTATGATAGAAGGATATTTTACACAGATGTGCAATGTTGCAGAAAGTTTTAGATCCAACTAAGGAATCCTTAAGCTCACTCCCTAGACTAGGTGACATTGTGGTTTTGTTGTTCTCTTGCTTGGAGGTGGACATTCTAATCGTTTGGTCAAATTAGCATTGAAGCATTTCTAACCCCCTCCAAACTTCGGTTCCCCGTGCCACTATCCTTTATTAACTTGGTATAAGATATTCAAAATTCAAACAATTGATTTTTTCTGGACTTACATGAGTAGAATAGACCCCTTTTATCTTCCAGAAGCTTCTTTCAACTCCCCAAAAACAGCCCATCCCAAAGGTTGCTGATTTGGTCCCTTCAGGAAAAGGTGGAAACATTCTGTTCCCATTAAATGCATGGACTTCTGATATACCCTGAAAAACCATATACATCTTATTTTGTACATCAATTTTACACTAAAACCTGGGAGATCCTTTAAATATGCAGCAGAGGGTAACCTAGAAACAATCAGATCTCACATTGCATGAGAGGAATTTATTTATTATGCCCCCAGTCCCCTAAGTTTCAATTCAAGAACTGAGTTTGAGAATTAGAATAATCCCATGATCTACAATTAAACACAATATAAATTTAAATTCAGCTAAAAGCAGTGAAGTTCAATACAGAATTCAACCAACCTTTAAAGCCTCTGCACGTCCTGGCAAGGCATTGCTTGCATTTATTGAGCCATAGTTTGCTCCCATTGTGACAAATCCAAATAGAAAGTTTTTAAGAATAGACATACATGTGGCCCTAAAAGTTGAGCTTTATTTTAATATAAGATATGTCTTTTTATGGTGCAATGCATACTTATTCTACTTCGATAAAATAGCCATTGATTTTGTAAAAGTGGACCGAGGAGCTGCACAGACCCAACATGAAAAGATTCCACTACTCAAGGACTGAGGCAGTGACTTAACGAAGGGCCCCTCCAACCCCGCTGTTTACCAGCGTTTCCTCTTAAATCACTTAATATGTCCAATTTTATGTTTGAGAGGGGCGCCAATAGGGGGTACTTTTTAGACGGGGGGCTGGGGGAGGGGTGCCAACAGGAAAAGTTACGCTACTGGACTGACGCTTGAAACCAGCAGAGTAACTTTTCAATAACAAGCAGTGAACAATGTCATGACACCACCAATATTATTGGTGGTGTTCTTATTCTCTTCTCCCTCCAAACCTGACGCCTTTCCTTCCCTTAAAAGTTTACTATAAGTACGATATTCCTGTCGGGTGTAAGCTTTTTAATTATAATAGATTCCTTAAATCACTTGATAATACTACTATTTCCTCCATCCTGGAAGGTGATTGCCCCTGTTCCAGTAACCCTTATTGCTATCAGCCTCGAGGCCACATCATCACCGGTGACCTTGCTTTCATTGAGCACGAGGATTTAAGAGGCATCATGAGTTACGGTACCAAATTTAGGGAACCTGTGTCTGTTCCTCCTGAGCAAATCTTGGAGAGCCTCAACGAGTGTTCAGCCAACTTCGCCACCCGTATGGCTAGGAAACATGGACTTTCATGTTTGGAATTCCAGGATTGGAAAGATGAGGTCTCCCGGATCTTCACCAATCGCCTTAACTTCCTCTCCTCCTCCCCTAATAACTTCACTCCCTACAATTCCATTCTACAAAGGGATGATGTTAAATCTTATCTCGACAGTCTTTCTTCTTCTTTTATTATTTGCTCCGTAGATAAAGCTTCAAATAATTATGTTTTTGTCTGCAAGAAGTTTTATCTTTTAACCCTTCTCAACGAACTTGGCTACGATCTCACTTCTCTAGAGTGTCGTGGCAATTCTACTTATCATCCGGTTAACTCTGTAGAGGATGATATTATTCAGGAACATGTGAACTTCATTAAAGATAACTTTAATATTCGTGTTTCTGAGGACAACCTTTGTCTACCGAGAATCTTTTGGATTCCTAAACTTCACAAGAATCCTTATAAGTCTAGATTTATAGCTGGGGCCAGTAAATGTACCACTAAGCAGATATCAGTTGTAGTCAACAAAGCTTTAAAAGTTTTAAAAGAATACTTTTCCAAATACTGCAACTCTATCTACAACAATACTGGAATTAACTGCGACTGGAGCATTAACAGCTCTAAACAGTTCCTGGAAAGGCTGCCTAGACTAGAGATTTTTAATATGCAGGTATACGACTTTACCACTCTGTATACCAATCTAGACCTTCAGGTTGTACAGTCACTGCTTTTCGAGCTAATAGATCTCCTCTTTAGTAATACGAATAAATTTATTTGTGTTTCTCTGTATAAGAACAACAATTTTTTCTCTAAAAAGGAATATAACGGATACTTATGTTTTTCTGCTGATAAACTCAAAACAGCTATTACATTTATTCTGTTTAACACTTTTGTTTGTTTTGGGGATCAGATTTTAAGACAAACGAAAGGCATTCCCATGGGAGGGAATTCTAGTAGCCAGTTCGCTGATCTTTCGCTAGGGAAGTGTGAATTCAACTACATGACACGCCTAATCAAAGAAAAGAAGTTCGGTCTCGCTAAGCTCCTCTCAAGAAACTGCAGATATGTCGACGACCTCAACACCATGAACTATTTGCATTTCTCTAACCTAATCAGGTCCATTTATCCACCTGACCTGCTTATGGAGAGGAGTGGTGACGACAATAAGTCCGTAAACTATCTCGACATCAACATCTCGATGAATAACTCCGGACACGTCGCCACCAAGCTTTACAACAAACTTGATGACTTCAACTTTCCTGTGGTCATGTACACCTTTCCTAACAGTAATATTTCCTCTTCTGTTGGTTATAATGTTTTTTACGGTCAGGTCCTTCGTTACTCTTCCATTATCTCTGACCTTGATTCTTTTCTGTGTTCTACCAACACCCTTTATAGGACACTTCTTTCAAGATGTTATAATGACAGACTCCTGAAGAGTAAATTCAGAAAGCTTCTGAAAGACCGACCTAGTATTCTGTACAAATACAGTATACTTGATGTCAGCGACATCCTTGACATCACATTTAACGTGAACAGGTGATCACTGACGAGTGATTGCTAGGGGGTCTTGGCACATTAAACCGGTACAGGTATTAAACCCCCGAAACCGGTGTGCCAAGTCATCTGCTGATGATGTTCACATAACATTATTTCCTCTCTCCTTTATTCCTTCCGTCTTTTCTTAAACTTACAGTTCAGTTACTTTATTTCACCAGGTCTACCTAAGGATCAATTATTCTTTGGTGGGGTTTCACTTCTGGTATTGGCTTCATTCCCGTTCCTTTTCCTTATTCTTTATACTTATTTTTTATATAGTTTAATGAGAGTGATCTTATCTATTTAGAGTATTCAGTTCAAAAGAATCTTGCTGTGTTACAATCATGCTAATGCAGCTACAGTCACTCAGATATAATTTATATCAGGACACATCAACAAGGACCATAATTTCAATGACAGGACACATGTCTTGCCTACAATAAGAGGTGACGACCATAATAATTGCAATCATTATTATAAACAATAACCACAGCACACAGGAAAATTACAATTTTTAATTTAGTATACTTAGCCATTAATCGAGCTAAGGGACAAGCAAGCTTCTGTCATCAGTAGCTTTCAATCTTATTCTAGGGAAAATAGATCACCACCGGGACACATTTCAAATTATGATTACCATGTTGAACGCTACGAGCTTCAACATAGAACATGCAAAGGATTGTAGCACAATGCGTTACTGGCGAGCATCCAATAATGTTTCTCGCAACCACACTTCGTTAGATCGGCGGATGCGCTACTGGGCCTCACCGAGCTGCAAAGAATTGATATCTTCAATTAAGCAAAGGATTGACAATTGACATCGTAAATCAAACCATGGCCATTTTGGTAGTATACTATTTTCAACTAGCTTGATTGATGGGCAATGTTGATGGACGAAGATCACATTCGATTAATTCCTGATTGACGATGTCAGCCAATTGATATCGTCAATTTTGAAGCAAGAATGTTAGTTCGCGCGGCGCTTCGAATCGGCGAAGTCCTCCAACCTCGAAAGCTTATGCATAATATATGGCATGATGCTACTCAAAAGCATTTTCAAGTTTATATTAATCGTAGCAAGAAACATCGTGATGGGCGGTGCGATGTGCGAGGACGAAAGAAGCAGCTTAACTTCCCCAAGTTTGCGGCTCCTCCTGGGGACCTCTATTATATGTATGTTTATAATCCGAATTTTGGTTTTGTTATCAGTGCCCGATTTATTGACTATGTGGTATGCTGGAACAGTATTAGTGATCGAGTAAGCTTTTTGGACCTAGAACTCCCTACAAAATCAGGAAAATTTATCAAATGTAGGGTGGTCAATGTATATGGACCACACAAGAAACTTGCAGAAAATGATCAACAACTGTTGATCAATTTCTACGGCCAAGTTAGGGACGCTCTAAATGTCCCTGCTAATGTTGAGATATTTGTTTTGGGGGATTTTAATTCAAAGTTGGGAAAAATGACTACTTCAGATAAGGACTTTGGTTTTGGTCGTTTCATGGGTAAACATGGTATGGGTTTGCGCAACGATATGGGGGAAAACTTGTTAGACTTGTTATCAGAATTTGACCTCTTTGCCTCCAACACTGGTTTTTATCATCCTGCTCGACATACGACCACCTACACTGGCTGGAGGAAGGACTGGAGTGCCGGGCGAAATAGTAAAAAGACGATCCCGGTCTATTCTCAGATCGATTTCATCCTGTGTCGGAGTAGGTCGAAGCCAATGCTACAAGATTCTAGATCTTATGCAGGCACTTTGACATACTCTGATCACAGATTTGTTGTCACTAGAGTAGACTTTAAGGACATCTGTCTTTGCTATAAACGCCACTCCAAGACATCCTTAAAGTTCAACACCTCGAACCCCACCATTCAGGTGAAATATCGTCAATCCTTAGATGATAACTTAAGTAACACTGTTTCTGCTCTGGATCCAAATTCAGACTTGAATGGCTTACTTGAGTCCATAAAGGATGCTGCAAAATCGTCAATTGGTGTCATCAGACACAGGAAACGTAATCGCAGCGACGATGATGAGGTGAAAAACTTATCTAGCCAGCGTTACTTGTTGAGACAGCAGCTTAATGATAACCAGTCTTTAGACAGAACCTCACTTAGATCATCTATTAACTGCCTCACCAATCAGATCAAGCAGAGACTTTCTAACATACGATCAGCTGCTGCTGATGCTATCTGTAATACCATCAGTTCAACAACAGATAGTAAGAAAATGTTTGAAGATGTTCGAACCCTGAACTTACCTAAAGCCCCTTCTTGTATTGGTGTTCATGATGAGAAAAGGTGCAATATTGCAACAGACACTGGTAAAGCTGCCGTAGTTGCTAAGTACCTTGAGCAACAACTTACTCGTGATGAAGCACCTTTAGAACCTTTTGTAGGACCTCCTCGCCCACTAGTTAAGCCATTCACAAGTGAAGAAATCGGATCAGCTGCCAGAAGTCTCAAAAATGGTCGAGCTAACGGCCCAGATGGAATTCCTAACGAGCTTCTCAAGTATTCTACTGGATCAGTACACAGACGTTTTGCAGACATTATCAATAGAAGCTTCGAGACCAATTCCTACCTTGACCCCATTGGACAGGCAAACATTACCCCCTTACAGAAGCCAAATAAGCCCATTGGTTCAGTGAAGAATCTACGACCCCTCACTCTCTCAGATGCTGTTAGAAAGATTCTTTCAATGGCAACCTTGAAGAGAATTGAGAATAAAGTCAATGCCTTCACTGGTCCATGGCAATGTGCTTACAAGCAGGGTAGATCATGTGCTGACATTGTATGGTGCCAGCGTGTGATGTTATCAGTTGTCCAGAGGAAGAGGTGGGAATACCATCGTATGGGGATCGATATGTCTAGTGCCTTTGACACTATACGACGATCTACCATCCTCGATCTTCTTGTTTAGTGTGGCTGTGATGATGACGAAGTCCGTTTGGTAAGACTTTTGCTTTCCAACACCAAGCTCAAAGTCAATATCAACGGTACACTGTCTGCTGAATTCCAGAGTTTTCTCTGTGCATTCCAAGGTGACTGTCTGTCTGGATGTTTGTTCACACTTGTCTTAGCGGGTGCCTTGCGTGACCTCCGTAACAGGCTTGAAACTGCAATGAATAGGCCTAACCCACCTATTACCGATATCGGTCTTCCACTTGACAGTGAGTATGCTGATGATATCGACTTCAATGATGAAGATGAGGACAATTTGAGGGAGCTGTTGCCTATTGCAACAGAAGTCCTTAAAGATTGGAATCTCTTCGTTAACGAAGACAAAACTGATTTCACTCATGTGTACTTAGCTGAAAAGGGAGCTAAAGACGATCAGGGTAAGCCAATTGCAGGGAACGAGCTCTGGAGAAAGAGTATCACGCTTGGCTCCATGCTTTGTAGTAAGGAGGACATCTCTAGAAGGATATGTCTGGGATATGCCGCGTTTAACAAATACAAGAAAGCTTGGAACCATAAGATCCCTCTGAGCAAGAGGCTTCTGTTGAATGAGGCTCTGGTAGTATCCGTTTTAATGTACAATTCATCTTGCTGGGCTGCCCCTAAATCAGTATTGGAAAAATTAGATATTGCTCACAGACGTCATCTGCGATCAATTTTGAATTACAAATACCCTCACATCATTTCCAACAAGAACTTGTATAAACGCTGCAATAGCGAACCATTGTCAGCTAAAGTGGCTCGTAGTCGGTGGAGGATGCTCGGACATGTACTGCGTGGGCCTACAGATGGTCCAGCCTATTCGTCGCTTGTTTTTGCTGTTAACACCTTACAGCTTCAAGGGCGGCGTGGAAGACCGCAGTCAAACCTTTTCTCACTGATTCTACACGACCTTAGTGTTCGAAAATTATCGTTAAATAATTTATGTGATTTAAACAATTTAACTTTAATCGCTCAGAATAGAGTTAAATGGAGAAGTATGCAAATTGCATGACTTTTGTTTGAGAAAGAATAGGGGACAGAAATGTTTACTTTGTTTACTATCTGTTTCTTAGAGCTTTTGTTTATATATTATATATATTATAATCCGAATAGAGATTCAGCGGAATGACAGGCTGATGATCTGTGATCGCGGCCCAGTAAGATTAATTACTCTACACTTGACTGTCACGTGACTTTTTCAACCCGTTCTCCATTCTCTAGCTGGTTCTGGACGACTATTCGAAACCCTAACCCTCTTATTTAATCATAACCCTAACCCTAACTCAATCCTTAACAAAAGCATTTGCTGAAACCCTAATCCTAAATTTGATTGTCATACGTTGTATGACCCGCCGCGCACGGAGTGCGAAGACGCTACAGTGAAGCGACCGTGGGGGTCACCACGTGATACAAAAATTTGACGGGTGATTGGTGATACTCGTAAAATATTTGTTTAAATAGGACCGTCGACGACTCCAACTCGGCGCGCGTCCTAGTATAGGTTATTAACCTAGCTACACCCTAACTTATAAAATTAACTTCCTTATACGGTAATATTACGTGATCGATCAAACACAAAACAGTTTTTCGCCAATATCTCGCCAGGGGAGCATTTTAATTCTATGTCATGGCCATGGCACATGGGGTGTGGGGGGTTATTCGGAATCATCGTCCGAAAATATTTAATTGACGATGTCAATTCATCGCAGCTCGGCGCGGCACAGTAGCGCATTTCGCCGATCCATGTCGCTGTGATAAGCCTCATTGAGTTATAGGTTTAGTAGGTTTACAACCTACCAGGACGCGCGCCGAGTTGGACTCGTTGACGGTTCTGTCTATATACATGGAACAAATATTTTACGAGTATCACCTGTTAACATTGAGTGCGCGGCGCGGCACAATAACGCATCGCGCTACAAAAAAAAATGAAATACATCGATTCAAGTTTGTTTCAACTGTCGGGGGTTCGGCATTTTTAGAACAATTTGATCTCGAAAATCGACTGTAAAGTGATTTAGCACGCTTAATTGTCGCTGTATAACTATATATATATGATATAATACGCGGTGATGATCGAATCGAAGACTGGACAAATGATTTTCGTATAAATTTTTTCTAAGTAGGGCGCACCGCTTTTGGGCGTTGTTATATTGTATATTTAAAAACCTAAGCAGCTAAGCTATCTCATCTGCGTACTTAGCTTTTTAAACGTTAATTTCAATTTTTAATATGTTATTGTTAACATGCAGTTGAGGCAAAAAATTGTCCTTCAATTCTAATTTTTATTCAAACTATCACATAAACCCCAAAAACTAACCATTATCTAAATATTTAAATAATTAGAATTACGTTTTATTTTGTATCACGTGGTGACCCCCACTGTCGCTGTAAAGTTTCTACGATACAGGGGGAGCTGCGCACGTGCACTCGTGCGCGGCGGGTCATACAACGTATGACAAGTTTTATTTACTTGTCATACGTTGTATGACCCGCCGCGGACGAGTGCGCGGCTCCCCCTGTGTATCGTAGAACTGCTACAGGGGTTTAGTGAAACTTTGTGAAACGACAATATCTAAGCGAAATTTCCTTAGCTAAAGCTTGTATACTATTAACGCAATAACGCTGCTGGTTTATTAACAATTAAATATGGCTCGTTTTTCTTAAAAAGAGAAAAATAGCTTATCTTACTCTCAGCTATAAAACTGATAATGATTAGATTTAGAATATTCAAAATATTGGTTTGCAGATCAAGTCGGATCAAAAATAATTTAGCATGCAGCATGCTACTACCTCGTGGGAAACCAAAAGCAGTTAATATAAAAAAGCAAGTTAAAAGTTGTCTGTTAAAGTTTTACTTATAATAAAAATACGTTAACCCCCGATTTACCATTTACCACGTTTGCCGGGCAATAACCCAGGCCTAAACTGCAGTCGGACACAAATGACAAAGGTAGATTGTCATTACGAGTACTAGTACGAGTGGGTGGATTGATCCCCAAAACATTAATTAGCACACACACAACATAACACTCTGATCTGCATTCTGCAATATTGGCTTTCAATTATATGCATTATGCCAAATGCTTATAATAATAAAGTAGTAGTACTAGCTGTATATAGTAGTATATAGTTATTAAGTTCGCAAATTCTAAAATCTTAATACCTTTTTAACATAATCGTTACTACCAATACCAGACTATAAATATATAAATATTCATATTCATTATTCAATATTCATGCACATTCTACTGTATACAAATACTGAAATACAATATTATATCAATATGCAATATCATTTCCAGAACAATAAATTGTAATCCATGATATTATACTGATACATTTATTAATACTATATATTTTTATGGATGATAGTCGATAGATCAATAAATAACTTCATAAGTGATAAGATAATGTGTCATTATAAGTAATAAGTATACTTATATTTTATTACTCGATTTACACTCTAAGAATGATCTGAATTGTTTCAAGGCTAGCTTCTTTTCAAGCTGCTAAGTCAAAGTGAGAGAAACGAGCAAAGGCTAGCGAGCTAGGTCAGAGACACTGATGACTGAATCTTTTTTAAGATTCCAATACCCAAATCTGAAATCATTGAATACCAAAAGATTCAAAAGAGGTAGCATGAAAGTGAGTAGGATTTGTGTAGTGCTTGATTGAGCGGAGAATGCAGCACTTCTTTCATTTCCGAAACAACCTAATTGGACCGATGCGGAGGGAATTATGAATCTGAAGAATAGGTTCACGCATCCACTCAGTGTGCCGTTTTCCTGAAATATTAAAATTGATTAAAGTGCTCACATATTAACATGTACAAGGAATTAAGTTGATGCTTATTTTTCGATTCATATCAAATATTGTACTTGAGGCTTAACTTTGAGGTACTATTTGCACGGGATTTGCGATTTATTAAACACATGAAACATTTTTGTTTTCATTGAAAGCATATTAGAGTTATTTATAACTTTTCTATGATATCAGGAACAAAGTGCTACATTGTGAGGCTGATTGTGGTTATATGACTCACATGAAATAATTAATATAAGAGGGTAATGTTTGATCGAAACCACTACACTTAACGCAAAACTTACCCTCGACATCTTCGTGAAATAGACACAAACTTCAACAAGATTTCCAATCTTCCATATCGGGAGTTTTAAGCAAATGCACTCGTTAAAGTCTATCAGTTCAGCATGAATTTCGACTTGGCCGTTCCATGTCAGGAAAACATCAATTGCCGTTTGATTGACTCCCACGTATGTGATATTGACGCACAAACGATTCTTGTGGTGTGGTATAATTTCCAAGTCAGTACAGCATTCGGAACCGGTCCCGTTTTCCCCTTTATTAACACAACCGTTATTTGATATCAGTTCGCCTCCCCTAAGAGTCTTTTCAAAGAGTTGTACTATTTCAGCTCGTTGTAGATAGCTTATGGTTATATTTCCACCACCGTACTGATCGTCCTTGCATTTATTCTTGTTTTCAAAATCTGAGGACAAATTATCTTCGTAATATTGATAAGCATTTTATGCTATAATTTCAGTAATCGACTTAGGATATATTAAAAGCAAATTATATTTATCTCGACACGACACGAACAGCACGACACAAGAAAACAAAACACGAAACAAGAAAACAAAAGAAACACTAAACAAAAACCAAGTATCAGCTTGTAATAATAAACTTAGTTACCAGTATTTGTAATAATTTCTGTACATCGGAAGAGAGGAAGGACTGCGAGGAAAACCAGACTGGGCAGCATTGTCAACATTACGGACTATTTCAAGTTGATCTTATAGTCATAGTGCTTTTGGAAACTAAGTTTTCATTAGATAGAGAAAGAACGAAAAGAACCAAAGGAACTAGTAAAATAACAAAACTGGATAAATATTAACCAACTATTCTCAATAGCACGCCCATTACTTATTCGTATATATTATAATATAATATGCAAACGTAAGAATAATATGCAGTGTGCCATCAAATTCAACTCACGGATCATGTTACATGTTTAACATAACTTGGCAGCTTCAGCAGATTAAAACTACTATAGTGTGAGTGTTGAACATTCCGGTCTTAGACTGGGAGCAGTGAGCACAACGCCGGTCGGCCGCCGGTCACACCATGGTGATACATTCAAGCTATTTTAACTGTGCTAAGACCGACATTCAAACATTTTAGGAAACTATGCTACTAGTTACTACTACTACTATGTCGGAACTAAGTCCGATCTACGCCAGATAACCCCCTCCATATATCCCTGTCCCGCATCAGAATTCGCAGTTCCTCTTTAGAGTTTGTCCCAACTTCCTTCAGTAACAAAATATTCGATGAGTCCTGTCCCAATACAATAGTACAATGACAGGAAGAAAGAGACACAACAGCAAATCAATAACCATGACAACACCATGTCCCACGACTGAGTATGGATAACTAAATCTACCATTACCAATTACATATGTGTTGGATAAATATGGAATAATAGCAAAATTAATGCATATTTAGTCATAACTTTTACCACCAGCTGGCAGCTGAACTATACTAAAAAAGTTTCTTAATTATAAGGGTTTAGCTTGCTTTTGTGCATTGGTGTCCCGGTAATGAAACACGAAAAACAGGCCGCACATTGATGTTACAAATGAAGCAAGCTTAGTAATATAACGGAAAGGAAAAATTATCAAGTTGCAAGATGAAATACGAATCACAAATGTGTTATAATATATCAAAATATAGCTTTCTGCAGTCAAGTTAAACAAAGACCCGATTATAGTCATAGACTCGACCTTAAAGTTAACGGAATTTCTATCTAGCAAGGAGTAGTATAACTATACATTGTATAGGACTAAAACAATATAAGCTAAAAGCTCGAGCGGTTGTTAATTGGCATCCTTAAGGTTATGGATCAATCATCAATGAACGAACCCAAACGCTAACTTACAAGAACTTACGAGAATCCACTGCTTCACAATTGTGACAATATAACCTAGAAGTGACTCATGGTGCGCGCGTCGGAACACTTGACACGTGATCATCCATCTGACATGCACATGACCTCTCTGCTCCAATCATTATTAAGTTGCGGTTTGCCACTGCCAGTAATACTGCCAGCCAAACGGGTCCTTTATTCGAAATGTCGAATAAAGGTCCCGTTTGGCTGGCAGTAGTACTGGCAGTGGCAACCATGTCCAGCTATATCATCAAGACGTCATTATCATATTATGTTAACTAAGGAAGGAGTGCAGAGTGTAAAAATCACGTACTGAAGAGTAAAAATTACCTTATCGGACCTTATTTGGACGGACATTACATGAACGGACATAATTATGAACGGACATTAATATGAACGCTCGAAGGCATTCAAAACCATTAAAAATCCGAATTTTTTTCAATTTTTTGACGTTTTTTTAATTTCAGCAAATGATTTTTAAATCCATTTTTTATACAGTAAGTAAGAAAAGCAGTCATTAAGCAGTAAAAATGTTAAAACATGTGTACATGATCAGTGTCTAATATCACATATCATCTTCATCAAATTAGTTTTCGTCCATGAAATAGTTTATGCTTAAACAAGCATCAGTGATTTCTAGCTTTACGGAAATCTTTTTATCAAAATACCCCGGTCCTGCATTTCATTGTTAACTTTTACAAGCCATTCGGCGTGAAGTGGTTTTATCTTAGACAACTTTAGGTTAACCTTAACATCACGTGGAGCTTTCCTAGAACTGTTTCATTACCTCCCCTCAGTAATATGAACTATAACAACGTCGGACAATGTCCTTGGCAACACGATTTACCGTAATATCTAGAGGCTGGAACAAGTTTGTCATGTTGGCGGGGACTAGCTCATGAACTATGTTGTTGAGTGCCATAATTTCGTTGACTTTTTCCGCCAAGTGACCCTTGAAAACATCATATACTAGTAAAGTTTTCTGTGCCTCCGGCAGACCAAAGAGAACCTTTCCGTCGTTAACTTACGGCACAATAAAGTTCTCATAGTTGTCATATTCTGGACAAAAAATTCGAAATGGAAAAATTTTTGAAAAAATTTCAACGGACTTTAACTTGGACGGACATTAATTGAACGGACTTTATTTGAACGGACATTAAGATGACCGCTAGGGCCTCCAGCGTTCAAGTAATGTCCGTCCAAATAAGGTCCGATAAGGTACGTAATAATATGTGATCAATGACCCCAAATGTATCCCGATTTCGAAGTCCCCACCCTCGATATACGTTCTTGGAGTCAAGGCTCCCCTTTGTAATTCGATCTCGGAGGGCAGGCCTCCCCTGGACCTATGCAATACGATTTCGGAAACGGGGAGATTGCCTTTCAATGTATGCCAAATGACTAAAAGTAAAATATGAGAAGATACACAACATTACCAGTACCTCACTGGGCGTGCTTAATCACTCTACACCCGAAGCTGGAGTGTTTTCTAAAAGGGCCCGGACAATTGAACCAAAATGGAATTGATGTATTTTTGAACGCTGATTCCCAATAACACCACATGACAAAGTGTTAAAATACTCCTCGGCAAAAAACTGCCTCGATCACGTGGAATGACCAATTAAGGAAGTTTGTTTAATTACTCGTACAGGCTCCGGCTCAGCCTGTCAGTGTCATTCCGCCGCATTGTATCTTCAATCTGTTTACGAACAGAAAAACCTGAGGTCCCCAGGTAAGGGTTTTAGTATATGTTCTAGTTAGGGATTGGGATAGGGTTAGGATTGGGGTCAGAGTTAAAAGGATTAGGATTTTAAATAATAATTCAGGGCCACCTAGAGAAAGTGTTAAAGTAGGTCACGTGATAGTCGAGTGTATCAGTAGACCGATTAATCATCATCCTTCACGTCTCGAAGCGTAAGAATTGAGATCCACTACATTTTAAATTTAAACTGATAACATCACCATTACATAGTCACACATGAGCACATTATGTTTATAACTAGTGCACAGAACAACAATAAGGAAAACAAACGTAACAGTTCACACTGTCACACAACATACCTATAAAATGATCATGCTAAATCAGGATTTCATAATATACAGTGTATATTACACTCATTACTGCATGCATGCCACCACGCCCCACGACCACGTAGGAGGTCACATCAAGATTAGGATGTCGAATTAAATGGTATGTCATTACAGCTACCCAAAGTCGACTTGTTCTGGACGGATGAGTGACTTTGAGCTACCTTACTCGGGAATATAATGACTGGGATAAAGTGGTGGGTTTTGGAACATTCCGCCATATTTTTCCCGGTCATTAATTTTCCCAGTCATAAATATAATTAACCCGCTATAATATTCCCGAGTAAGGTAGATTAACAGTAGGTTAATCTAGCCGAAATAGAGCGTAGCTTCTATTTGTGAGGATATAGAAAAGTTGTTTCTATATGAAGAATTTATAAAAGCTACCAAGTGAGAGAAGCGAGCAAAAGACTAGCAAGCTAGGTAAGAAACACTGATGACTGAATCGTTTTTGGATTCCAATACCCAAATCTGAAATCATTGAATACCAAAAGATTCAAAAAAGGTAGCATGAAAGTGAGTAGGATTTGTGTAGTGCTTAATTGAGCGGAGAATGCAGCACTTCTTGCATTTCCGAAACAACCTAATTGGACCGATGCGGATGGAATTATAAATCTGAAGAATAGGTTCAAGCATCCACTCAGAGTGCCGTTTTCCTGAAATATTGAAATAAATCAAAGTTCTTGATGCTTATTTTTATATTCATATCACAAATTATATTTAAGCCTTAACTTGAAATTACTACTTGCACGGGATTTGCATTAAACACATGAAACATTTTTGTTTTCATTGAAAGCATATTAGAGTTATTTATAACTTTCCTATGATATCACAAAGTGCTACATTGTGAGTCTGATTGTGGTTATATGACTCACATGAAATAATTTAAGAGGGTAATGTTTGATCGAAACCACTACACTTAACGCAAAACTTACCCTCGACATCTTCGTGAAATAGACACAAACTTCAACAAGATCATTTCCAAATAACGGAAGTTTTAAGCAGATGCGTTGGCTGAAGTCTATGAGTTCAGCATGAATTTCGACTTGGCCGTTCCATGTCAGGAAAACATCAATTTTCGTTTGATTGACTCCCACGTATGTGATATTGACGCACAAAAGATTCTTGTGGAATGGTATAATTTCCAAGTCAGTACAGCATTCTGAACCGGTCCCGTTTTTTTCGACACAACCGTTATTTGATATCAGTTCGCCTCTCCCTGGAGTCCTTTCAAAGAGGTGCACTGAGTACAGTTGTAAGACTTGTAGTAGTTCAGATCGTTGTTGATAGCTTATGGTTAAATCTCCACAACCATACTGATCGTCATCGTTGCTGCATTCCTGTTCTTCTGAATCTGAGGACAAATTATCTTCATAATATTGATAAGTATGCTATGCCATACTTACAGTAATGAAATCGAAATATACTAAAATTAAATTATAATATCATTCGCAACACGACATGAGACGACACAAGAAAAAAGCACGAAACAAGAAAACAGAAGAAATAATAAACAAAAAGCAAGTATCAGCTTGTAATAGTAAACTTAGTTACCAGTATTTGTAATAATTTCTGTACATCGGAAGAGAGGAAGGACTGCGAGGAAAACAAGACTATTACTAAGCAGCATTGTAAACATTACACTTCCATCAAGGGGACACATACATTTGGCCCTGAAAAGAGGCAGGTCGAAGAAGAAATCGGGTTTTTCAAGAAACTCTTTAATAAATACTAGTAGTGTGTCTTCTAGTGCGTATTTACAGGATCAGCTCTACAATATTTGTAGTTATAGACTCACTATTATCCTACCAACTCTCGAATTTTCTACTGAGAGTTGCAGAATTACTCAACACGTTAGCTGATGTGGAGGATTGTCATAAATGTTCCATTTGTAGAAAGTACGATGTGTTTGAACAGGGATCATAGCGACTAAAAGTACCAGGCTTGAAATCAAAACAATGCTCTCTAATAATTATTAATATATCTGAAATTTTCAACAAAAGCCCAGTCGTAAAGATGCAGGGTTTGGACAAAGCTGAGCAAACAAAATGTTGGTTGTCAAGCACTATAAAAATCACACGAGAGAATACTTTACTTCGGCGAACTTAATCTTGAAATATACCTTAACAATAACCATTTCATTAGCATATTCTGATGAAAGAAACATATACAGTAAGGGCGTATATACATATACAGTAAGGGCGTGAGAGAGACACGTCACGTGTCCTATATTCTCAAATATTCTGGTTCCAGATAAAAGAACAACTGATGAGGTAGTAGATAGCAGAGAGTAAATAGAATTAAAGCTCGACAACTCTGTTCGTCTGTGCAGCTTGGGATTTCGACACAGTAAACTGTGACAGTTCTTTTGTGATCCAGCTTGATTAGGTTAGAGAGTGAAACGATGTCACTTGCTATGCTTTGCTCTACTTTGGATCATTGTTGCGCAATATTGGGTGGCAGTATCCAGATAGCCCGACCCCTGTTCGCCGAACAGGTGTTCGTGTTACCAGATCATATGACTGCATAATAACAGTAATGAGTTGCCAACAAACAGGCAACGTTACGCAACTGATTAAGGAAGGTTTAAAAAACACTAAAAGTGTTAGCAAAACTACAGATGCGTAGAAATGTTTCATTGCTCGAGAGGATTATGTTGATAGGAGTAAACAAATTTGAATCGCCAAGTCGAAGTAATTTATAACTAAGAAAACTGTGAGACGATTTTTCTTTCTAGGCGGGGATGCAGCCGTTTTTGAGTCGCTACGTAACAGCTGCATAACAATAGTCCTCGCTCGTTCATTTGCCCTGAATGTCTCAATCTTTTAGATTCAAATCTCAACTGCATTGTTTATTATCTAGAAGTTTCATTATCGTCGGTCTTGCACCGAGGGCTGAATTTGAGGAGCTAACCAATTGTTTAATCTGTCAGCTCTCAAACTTTTGAAGTTTAGACTGTCCCTCATTACATCGGAACCAATATGCAATATAATGGATATATTTCTTTGGTGCACAATAGTGGTGGTATGTCAACAAACTCCGCCCCCAGTATAAGTAGCCCTATAGTACTCCGTGCATATTAGTCATGATGCGATGAGGGAACGTCGAGACTGAACACACAAAGACGTGAAACCTATTAAGAGACTACCGGTGCCAAACTTTGAAATTGTTGTTTTTTTTAAACCGATAAAACTTTGAAGGAGAGCTAAGTTTGAGCTAGAATATGAAACAATTGCACTGCCACACGTAAAATTTATGATTATAATTTAGCCATATCATTAACAAAAGTGGGCCGGTGTTAATAGCTCTTCTTAAGTGTTTCTTCTAGTTGAGTTCTTCTTCTTCTAGTTGAGTTCTTTTATTTTTTAGTTTAACTTTATTGAGAGATGAGAGACCACGAGTTATTTTGAGAAGCACTAATAACTATAACTGATTTTCGAACACGAAACATACTGTATTTATATAACTTAGGAATCACCTGGCGTGCAGGTACTAACAACTATTTTGACGTTAAACCTAAGTTAGTGCACGAGTTGACCGGGGTTACAATAGTTTAATGAGCTTAGTCCACCTGCTATGGTCATGTGACCTAGGTCACATGACTTACAACCAATGGACGGCTACCTCGTCTAGTGGTTGACCAATAGTAAAATTCCCGTATATTCTGCACCTTTTTCTTCTTATTTAAAGTACTTTATTTAAAGTCAGAGCGGCCAATTATATGCATGCTTGAATGAACCGACCCTAATGGTCCTTGACAGGTCACGATCAAACCACCTGTGTCCTGTTCCCAGTTCCATATTATCTTAATCATAATTATGCAATCCTATTACCTAACACCGGCATCTTAATCTATAACTAGCTAACCCAACTATAACCGTCCAAAAGCAGTCGAATAATCAATAGGCATATCCAATCACGTAGAATATGGTATCGCAGTGGCTGATACGAGAACCGGCCCCTTTCGAACCTGGCTCACGTCCGTTATGTGAACACATGTCGAGAGCTAGAACACTTCTTAATATTATACTTCATAATACACAGCTACTTACTTAACTGTCAACAACAACAACTATGGCTCAGAGAAAACGAAACGGATGAACTCAGCCCTACCCTGCTAGTCGTAACTAATTGCATCCAAGATACCATACATAGTACATACCATTCAATTTCATATGTGGTCATATGATCTGGTAACCAATCAACTGTTCACGAACAACTGTTCACGAACAACTGTTCACGAACAACTGTTCGCGTACAATTGTTCGCGAACAGGGTTCGGGCTATCTGGATACTGCCTATTGGGTCTATATTATATATATTCGAATCTAAGATCCACTCAATATCTTTTAGGATTGCCGGTAGTACTTGCCATTTAAAGTCCCCACCCTCGATATACGTTCTTGGAGTCGAGGCTCCCCTTTGTAATTCGATCTCGGTTTTGTCATCGGTGCATAAAAAGGATGAATAATGTAACAAAGCAAAAGACGTTGAGCCGCTACCCAGTTTTTGCAATTATACCTACATAAATAACATTCTTTTAGTAAAAAGCCCAATAAAAGTTGTCAAAGTTTTGTAAAGTGTGTGGCAAATTACAGTTTTTTTAAAGTTTCGACCAAACTGTCGAACATATGCCTATTGTTCGGACAAATGATCGACAGTTTGGTCGAAACTTAAAAAAAACATTAACTGTTGGCTTTGAATTTCTTATCATCGTGCATTGTAAAAAAAGATAAGCCAAATCAAAAACTTTGTATACAAATTAGATCAAAAAGAGTATACCAGAAATCTTAAATTTTCTCCCCACAATAACAGAAATGTTTGTACGAATGTTGAAACTACAAAATACAGTTAACTCCTGTACCTCGCAGAGAACAGTAACCTCCGGGGTTCTTGTGAAGATACTGTTGGTGGTAATCTTCAGCATAGTAAAACACATTGTCCAGTTTTATCTCTGTTGTTATCTCACCTGCACAATTATTAATCAAGATTTAGATCTGCATTTCCTGTGTGATTTACTGAATACTAAATTAATGTTATTTGATTGCGCCCGTGGTAAAAATATTTAATTGTTTTATGGATTGCTTCTTTCTGTATGACCATTCAAAATTCATTTTATTTGTAATACCTTTTCCTTTAGAGCGAATAGAAGGTGATAAAGCGAATAGAAGGAGACAAATTGTACCTGGTACCCCCCCTTTCGTCTAGGTTCTGCTGAAATTTCTCCGCGCTTTTCCTAGCTAGTTCCAATTGTGTTTCATTGTCACAGAATATGGCAGAGCGATACATTGGTCCTGGGAATGGGATGAGGGAGGTCAATGTGTTATCTACTTTTTAAATTCACATTTTCTACTTTGTGGTTATTCAAAAACAGCAGACATAATGAGTAAAGACATGAAAAATTTACTTATTTAGTGTCAATTAAAAATTAAATTGAAGAAACCAAGGAAATCATACATTCCTTTTAATTGACTAAACATTAAACGCGAGTACAATACCTCTGTTTCTTCCTTCTCCACCTATAGCAATTGGATTGTGGTTCTCCCAAAAATTCTTTAGTAGAGCACTGTATTTCACTTGCTCTGGATCAAAAATAACTCTCACTACCTCAGCGTGCCCTGTTGCTCCTGTACACGTCTCTTGGTAAGTGGGATTCTTAGTATATCCTCCAGCATAGCCAGCCTGAAATATACGGATGTTTAATATCTTCTGACTGCTCTTTATAGTCTTTAAAATATAATTGTATGATTTTCTGGACTTACATGAGTAGAATAGACCCCTTTTATCTTCCAGAAGCTTCTTTCAACTCCCCAAAAACATCCCATCCCAAAGGTTGCTGACTTGGTCCCTTCAGGAAAAGGTGGAAATATTCTGTTTCCATTAACAGCATGGACTTCTGAAATCCCCTGTAAATCACGGATGCTTTATATTATTTTTATGTACGACTCAAATTATATTTCAGCCTGAATCCAGTAATTGACAAAAAAAACACGATTTCTTAAAGAAACACGAACCAACCGTTAATGGCTTTTCTCGTCCTGGTAAAGCGTTTGTTGCATTTAACTTTATTGAGCTATCATTTGGTCCCATAGTGTAGAATCCAAGGAGATATCTCTTAATAATAATATAAAGCGATTCTTTGCTTTTTGGTTTAAAATGTTGTTAATATTATGTCCAACAAGTAAGTTAAGTTATATCTTAATTCAAAATTCACGCCCTACAACTGTATAGCTTGTAATTAAATTGTGAGTTTTGTTGACTAAAATGCTTTATTTCACCATTGAAATCCATAACAAGTGGTTTGGCAATCTCCACACTTAAACACCAGTAAATACCACACTTATACCAGTAAACGAGTAGCAGAGATTTGGCCCTACAAAACTGCAATTGCAAAAGAATGATTCACTAAAAAATTAACGGGTGATACTCGTAAGATATTTGTTCCATATATTAGGACCGTACCGACGGGTCCAACTCGGCGCGCGTCCTGGTAGGTTATAAACCTACAACTAAAACACGACACCAAATACTATGTAGTTGTACTAGATCATGGACCAAGAATCAACATTTCCCGCAATCAGACAACGAATGAATGTTAAAATTCCAAAATATTTATAGCATTGGTAGAATACCAAATAGATAGCCTAGAATGTTTATTAATCAAATGATCTATTCGCTGTACGTTCGCGTAAGTGTGTGTTGAACTTTGAAAGCAACAGTAACTGTAAGTACATAATTAATTTAATTTATCAGTATCACCGCAAGGCGCAACCGTCAAAGTATAATCACAATGCTGGCAAGCATTACCGGTGCCATTATATTCACAATACTATTTACCCCCTTTACTATTTACCCCCTTTACTATTATACCACTTTATTATTTATCAGGCATTAAGCCTCATCGAAAGTAGTTCGTAGGTATATTTAAGTTCAAAACATTCTAATTCAATGTTAAAGATGACAGGATGTTATACGAAATTAGGTAAAAAAACCCAAAATCGCCATATTCAGGTGCCTTAAAAATAAAAACCATGTTAAAAATGAGTTAGAGATCCTAAATTTTGCAGGGCGTCTATACGTTGACCAAATCGACTGTAAAAAAATTTCAAGTTTCAGGTGTATCGGGAAGTGGGTTTTCTGGAACCCCTGTTTTACAACAGATTGTCGTGAAGTACCTTATCGGACCTTATTTGGACGGACATTACTTGAATGGACATAATTATGAACGGACATTAATATGAACGCTAGAAGGCAATCAAAACCATAAAAATCCGAATTTTTTCATCCTTTTTTGACGCTTTTAATTTTAGCAAATGATTTTTAAATCCATTGTTAAAATTTTATAATACCTTGTTTTTATTGATTCAACGATATAGTTTAGTTTAATGATAGCTATTGAAATTGACTGAAATAAAAAAATTGTCATATTCTGGACAAAAAGTTCGAAATGGAAAAATTTTTGAACAAATTTCAACGGACTTTAACTTGGACGGACATTAATTGAACGGACTTTATTTGAACGGACATTAAGATGAACGCTAGGGCCTCCAGCGTTCAAGTAATGTCCGTCCAAATAAGGTCAATAAAATTGAGAAAAATTTCGAAAAATTCCATTTATTTCGAAAAGTAAAGAAAAATGACTATAAAAATTTTTGCCCAAAAGTTTCAGCTGGACAGTTTTTTTTGTGGTTCCTGGGACTATGGACAACACATTCCAGTAGACAAACCTTTGTTACGAATTTGTTCACAGAAAAATCAACTCTTGCCCTAACTACAATAAGGTATTATTATATATACTAGTGTAACCCGGCCTACGGCCGGGATTTCACTGCCGCAGTTAAAAAGGGTAGGAGTAATTACCCGCTGAGTCAAAACCCGCATTAGGTGACCCAATAGTTTCTTAAACAATAATCTCATAATCAGTTATTTCTTGTGGATAATTTAATCATTATTAGGCACCACATTCCATGATCATAAGGTCTGAACACCGAGTATTACACCTCATCACTCCCGTCCTGAACCGCTTTCTATTTTTATTTAAATCGTTATAGAAATTAACCCTTGTTAACTCCGCACCACACCCGCATATTATATTTGAAAACACGCATAACATTGTCGTATGAACTCTCTCTCTCTCTCTCTCTGCAGTCCAAACAGACCCCAAACACTAACAGTACTCCCTCCCCTAATAAGCTTAAGGTATAACATTACAGCAAATCTTCCGGGGACCGGGCTAATCCAATTATGACGCTACTTAAATGCAGCAGATAACATATTACACAGTAATGAGAGAGAGCGAGAGAAAGAGAGAGCAGGCCCCGTAACTCTTGCCGTTCTGCTCAAGCAACTTTATGTAACATTTGTGGTACAAAACCATCAATAAAACCACTTACCACCGGCCGATTTAAAAAAAAATTTCCTATGGGCTTCATCAGAGTTTTGTCGACACTATACCGAAAAAATCAGTCCCGTAACTCTTACCGTTTTTTTTGTATAACCGACCGGAAATTACACACGGACAGACAGACAGACAGACACACACACACACACACATTCTGGTGTTATTAAGGTGATACTAGAAAACCCGTGGTCACAGGAAGGAACCTAAGAATAGTATTTTTGGCAGTCAGTTTGAATTGTGTCAAAAAGTATTCATCCCCAATGAAGATACAGCTGATTAAAATGTTGCTCGCACTAAACACAACGTAATATCAACAAAACCGATCAAAATGACGTTAAAACAATCATTGCACGTGCACGTGCGGGTAATATTAATAACCCTCGTTACCATGGTTACTTTGCAACCTTTTGCTTTTTACCTAATTTGCACGTGGGCGGTCGTACAAACATTGTACAAAAACAATTCTTTGAATTATAATAGAGATAGACGCTTTTGCAGTCAATTTGCAGTCAATTGTAGCTTACATTCAAGTGTCCGTAGATTCAAAAGTATAAACGATACAGTCATCTAGAACCACAGGTTTTAAAGATAATTGTTCACACTTCAGTTTACATTATATCAAAAAATAATCTAACGTAATCATCAACACTTGATGACGTAATCAAATTAGTTGTTTTTAAAACTTGATTTTTGACAGAATAACAACTTTTCAAAACGATTTTACACCATTAAGAAGTATTAGTAATTTTATTCAAAATCTGAGGTCATTTTCACCTTAGAGAATTGTTCAAGCATTCTGAAAATCTACCGAAAAATTTTCTTATCTTGCTCCTTCATAAAGATATTTGCTATTGAAGTTTTAGTTAGTGCTTTTTTGAAGAATAATTTTATAAAAACACAAAAGTTGTGAATTAGTATTCTCTGGTGTTGGGCCATCCCTTGAGTTCTGGAGCTCAATTTTCGTTCCTAAAGGTCTAAATTGTGTTATAGGCTTAGATTATAAAGTTAAAAATCGAAAAGTTGCACACGTGGAGACACGCCCAAATTGATTTAAAATAGCTAAAATCACTGAAAAATGTTATTTTCACGATTTTTATCAACTTTGGAGTCCCGTTGTGACCTAAGTTCTTTTTGAAATCTTCTGAAACTTTGCATGCTTATCAAACTATATATGAAATAACACTATGCAAAAATTTACGGTAATTCAATATTGTATGCGCACGCAACGTCCGCTCAAAGTTTGCACGTGCGAAAGGTGAGAATTTTGCTCATTCGTGATTTCGGATATATTCTGCTTTCCCACGATATTTAAATGGCATTATATGTATATTAATTTAATGCCTACTTGAATGAGTAAAAAGTGTCATATTCAGTCTGTTATCGACAGATATGCCTACCTAAACACAAGGAAACGTTTTCAAAGGTAAAATTTCGAAATCGTTGAAATTACCTACTTATTAACTTTGTAAATTATTCTGATATTATAATCAAAAAGAGATGATATTTGACCAAAACCCATAATCATGGGTAGAGTGAACCGCTGCCAGTGTCTCTCTTTTCCAAACAAAAGGAAATGATATTAATTTGAGGAACCGTCCGCAAATGCAAATTGATACCGAGAATGAAATCGGTCGCTCGCGTTTCCCATTCATTCACGGCTTACGAATTGTAATAAAGCTTAGGTATTGAATGGAAAAAGCGAGCGACCGATTTCATTCTCGGTATCAATTTGCATTTGCGGACGGTTCCTCAAATTAATATCATTTCCTTTTGTTTGGAAAAGAGAGACACTGGCAGCGGTTTACTCTACCCATGATTATGGGTTTTGGTCAAATAACATATAATTATAAAGGACAAAAATGTACAAAGTTTTGGATGTACTGATTCCAAAAGACCCCAAATTATATTAGGTAACAATTTTTCCCTGAGGAGTTAGGGGTCGTTCACAGTGATCACACATTACATAATCATTTTTTGGAAAATTTTTACCCCACCCCCCCTCATATCAGGTGCCACGCTAGGTTATTTTACAATAAATTTTTTAATCCAAAACCGCTGTACGTTTAACTGTTATTGTTAACGGGGGCTTTTCATTCCCTCAGCAGCTAATCTAGACAATTCATTCGATTTTGTACATTTTATAGATTAAAATAAGAAATACATATAGTTTTCGCGGCGGTGAAATTTCGGTATTTGTGGAAGATAAGTATATAACAACACTGTCGGTCTCCTATTATATTCCCAATGGCATAAACAATAAAATGAAAACATTTTCTATGCGGAGAAAATGGGAAAACCTGTGAGTAATTTTCTATTTTATACCATCAATTTTGGTCATCAAATTACTTGGGCACTTTACTTAGTACTTGGGCACTTTAAACATTTTTGGCTCAAACAATTTTTGGCCCGAGTCATTTTCAATACGTACCTCTAAAAGTAAAGGCAGACTCCCCGCTTCCGAGCTCGTATTGCATACGGGAGGTCTGCCCTTCGAGACCGCATTACAAAGGGGAAGCCTCGATTCCAATATCGTATATTGATCAGGAGTAGGTCCGGACTTCGAAAAACCAAAAAATGTTTTCGGTTCATAATGATCAGGGTAGTATGAACTGCGGAGAAAAGTGATTTCTAGGAAAACTTTTAAAATTGTTGACATGGCCAGCACTCAGCAGACGACTACGAGTGTGTCAAGAAATGCTTGTGAAAGTGGATTCCTGGAAACCAATTTTTCCACGGTTCATGCTACCCTAATCATTATAAGCCTAACATATTTTTTTCAGTTTTCTGAAGTCCGTACCTAGTAGTAGTACCTACCGTCCTACCTCTCGATATACGATTTTGGACTCGACTAGGCTAAGCCTAAATAAATTTCTAATTTTCCTAATTAATCAGACATCTTTAATATAAGTCTTTATTAATCTGAATCGTACTTCGCAATCTTTTTGTCGATTTCATTTTAAATTTGTCCGCGTAGATTTTAATTGCGGGGAAAGTGAATAAATGAAACAGTATATTTGTTTTAACATTTACATTGAATTCGTATCAAATCTTGAGTATTACATATAGAACTAAACAATACCATATATGAACAGATATATTGTTAAAGATTAAATAATCATCATGATATGAAAATGACTAGAGAATATATTAGAGTATAACTATGATACAGTCTTGTCGCAAATTGAACGTGCTTGACTTAGAGTGGTGATGTTGGAGGGAGCAAAATGTTAAACTTTCTTTAAATAAATTCCTATTTATAACTATGTGATTTGTAGTTCTGGGTTCTGTTCAAACTGACGGTGTATCTGGAAGTCAGTAAAAGAAACAGGAAGAACTTTCCACGGTCCGCATAATAGTAAGATAGTACAAATAACACTGAATTTAAAATAAATTTACAATCCATTGTTGATGCTAGTCTATACTACCATTCATGGTTTTAAATTATAATCCGATAAATTATCTTCTTGCAATCATTATAATATTCTCCATTAGAAATAAGTAAATCTCTTCATTTAGTCCAATGAGGCACGATATACAATTTTCAGCCCATACTAGGAGTAGGACAATAATCATAATTCTTAACCTGTCCATCAGACTTATTTCATCAATTCAACCAACAGAAGTGGTAGTATTAAGTTTAACAAGACACAGTTGTTGGTGGTATAACGACTAGATTACTAGGTGGTACTAGAGGAGCTATTGCTAGAGTTCCACTGACATTAACTTGCTGACGTTGTCTTGGTTTTCCCATTTGCTCGTTACCTGGAGGAATGTAACTTACTTTTATGTTACGTAAACCTTAAACCAATGTTATTAATTGAATTTAAAGAACACGATAAAAAACATTCTCAATTATTGGAGGTCGAGAGTTAGAAGTAAAGTTGAAGTAGGTTCTTTGTAAGAAAATGTTCCAACCTTATGCCAGACATCAATATGCTTGCAGTCACTGACGCAATCCACTTTGTTAGCTTGACACCAGCGATCTGATATGGGTGGTAAATGTTTGAGATGCAATTTATCAATAATTTGGTCGGTAGACAAGTAAGATAAGGTTCTCTAACTGAAAATTGTTATTTAGCATTTTTAAGCAATTTTTATTTTGCAGCAATTTTTAATTGAAGGTCAAGGAATTTGCGGTAAAATTTTAAAATTATAAGCTCTTAGATGATAAAACGATAGGCTCATCTTCTTTAGGGGTCGCTGGTTACATCATATATATCATAAATATATCACCAATAGTTATTAAATCCAATTTTTGGCGAACAGCCTTAATATTACTCCATAAACATTATCTTATATTATCTGACCTATAATTCAAAGAATTATTTCTGCTGTCTGTACGACCGCCCACGTACAAATTAGATGAAAATAAGAAGTTTTATAGTAACCATAGTAACGAGGGGGGAAGTTGGTCGTTTAGCTCCGGACAGTCTATGCAACGTCTATGCAACGTCCGTGCAACAACAAAAGAACCGTCTATGCAACGTCTATGCAACGTCCCTGCACAATGAACACTCTATGCACACTCCCTGCACGGTCAGTCTATGCAACGTCTATGCAACGTCTATGCAACGTCCCTGCACAGTACCATATGAACACCGGCTACTAGCCGGCTATTAGCCGGCTAGTAGCCACTTTTGTAATAACAGCTCCTCAACTTCACATTAACAACCGGCTACTAACCGGCACTTGAAAAGTGGTCACTAGCCGGCTACTAACCGGCTACTAGCCGGCTAGTGACCACAAAGTGGCTACTAACCGGCTACTAAGCGGTCACTAGCCGGCTATTAGCCGAGCTCTAAAGCAGACCTATTAGTAGCCGGTTCTAAACCGGCTACTAGCCGGCACTTGAAAAGCGGTCACTAGCCGGCTACTAACCGGCTACTAACCGGCTAGTAACCACCAAGTGGCTACTAACTAGTAGGTCTGCTTTATAGCTCGGCTAATAGCCGGCTAGTGACCGCTTAGTAGCCGGTTAGTAGCCACTTTGTGGTCACTAGCCGGCTAGTAGCCGGTTAGTAGCCGGCTAGTGACCACTTTTCAAGTGCCGGTTAGTAGCCGGTTGGTAATGTGAAGTTGAGGAGCTGTTATTACAAAAGTGGCTACTAGCCGGCTAGTAGCCGGCTAGTAGCCGGCTAGTAGCCGGTGTTCATATGGTACTGTGCAGGGACGTTGCATAGACGTTGCATAGACGTTGCATAGACGTTGCATAGACTGACCGTGCAGGGAGTGTGCATAGAGTGTTCATTGTGCATGGACGTTGCATAGACGTTGCATAGACTGTCCGGAGCTAAACGACCAAGTTGCCAACGAGGGTTATTACACGCACGTGCACGTGCAAAGATTGTTGGAATGGCATTTTGATCGTTTTTGTTGTTATTTGTGTTCAGTGCGAGCTACATCTTAATCGGTTGTATCTTCGGTTGTGATGGATATTTTTGATTTGATAAAAACTGACTGCCAAAAAAATATAAAACTACTAGCTTCCTCCCTGTGACCACGGGTTTTCTAGTCTCTACTATAATTCAAAGAATTCTTTTTGTAGAATGTATGTACGACCGCCCACGTGCAAATTAGACGAGAAATAGGAATTTAAGTAACAACCAAAAGGTTCCATAGCAACGGTGTTTTAATGCACACATGCACGTGCAAAGATTGTTTTAACGTCATTTTGATCGGTTTTGTGGTAATTAAGTTGTGTTCAAAGTGTTTTATATTTAAATCGGCTGTATCTTCGGTTGAGATGGATATTTTTTGATGCGATTATAACTTTCTTTCAAAGAATACTACTAGCTTCGTCCCTGTTACCACGGGCTTTCTAGTCTTACTTATAATTCAAAGAATTGTTTTTGTAGAATGTATGTACGACCGCCCACGTGCAAATTAGGTAAACAAATAAAAGTTGCATAGTATTAGTAACCATAGTAACGATGGTTGTTACACGCACGTTCACTTGCAAAGATTGTTAGAACGGCATTTTGATCGGTTTTGTGGTAATTACGTTGTGTTTAACGTGTTTTACATTTAATTCGGCGGTATCTTCGTTTGTGACGAATATTTTTTTGATGCGATAAAAACTGAAGTTACCAAAGATAGATACAAATAATATTACCTTCTTCCCTTTGACCACGGGCTTTCTAGTAATGCGTAAATACATACAATGTACAATATACAATATACAATATACAATGTACAATGTACAATATACATGTGTGTATATGAACTCTATTGTTTGTGTTATTTTTTATTTTTTACATATTATTGGTTTACTTATTAGACTCCCAAATTGCCGGGGAGAAAGTAAATCCATTGTTAACCGATATAATAAATGTTAACAATGGATTTACTTTGGTCAATGTTGGAGACACGTTGGTGGCATTAAATATAATAAACTGCCGCGTGGGAATCCATTATTAGCCAATAACATTGAACCACACACGTCGTAAGTCCATTGAACTTGAAGACAAAGTATTCGTGAAATATATCAATTCCAAAGATATTCACGGTTAGGTTAAGAATTCCATAAATAGCCCTCACCATCGTTTGGGAGGCTATTGATTATCTTCAATAGTTTTTGCTTGAGCTGCTCAGAAGCCGCTCCAAGGAGTTTAGCCACTAGGGTGTTCAAGCCGCCCACCGTGTTGTATAACTTTCCTAACGTAGGCTGGAACTCAATCAGCGTTTCTAGAATATCCAGGGCTGAAAAGTGGTCATAAGTTTAATTTGCGATGACTTTCAATCTTAATTTATCTTAATTAGAATTATTGGCTGTTGAGACTTTAATATAACGTTCAGCTTAGTAAAATTGTACGATTTTTCGAATAGTTTCATTAGGGTCACTTAGAGCCACTTAGAGTGTCATTAGAGATCTCAGAGTTACTTAGAGTCACTTATATTATCATTAGAGTTACTTAGAGTGTCATTAGAGTTAGACTTACCAACAAATATTCTCTCCTCATCACCATTACACAAAATGATATACTCCGTCAGCTTTTCTAGCAGATAATCGTCTACCATGCACAGCAGCTGTTCCCTCTGAAAATAATAAAGCAATTTTGTCAATTTATCATTGATATGCAAGTGCAGGCGGATGGGAATTAACTAGAAAATATAAATATTATTATTGTTATAGTTATTGGTTGCCCGTTCCCAAACATTTTAATATGAGATTGGCTGTACTTACAGTAACTGACTTGGCGATGTCTCTCAGCAGTTGAGCAGTAAGACGGGAGACCGTGTGATTGTTGCAAATCAGTAGGTTTTGTGTGAGAACTCCTGAGCACAAGTGTCCTGAAGGTGTGATGTTATTTTAGAGGCCCTTGTTTGTAGTAGCTTCAGATGATTTCATAACAATCGTACTGAAGCTGAGCTGTGTATATTGTGCTTCATGATATAGTGAGTTCTTAACTATGAAAGCAAAGATGTAAAACCAAAATAACAGTGTTTATGCAACCAATGGTGACTGCAAATAAACATATCGATACTTGCCTATATGATGTGTACACTGCTCAACAACTACAACTGGTTTCACAACCCCTGCTACTGGAATCGTTATAACAGGTGGTCGTACTATTCTACCGTGATTACTTTCTGCTGTTCGAGGCGGCCTGAAAGTATGTATCGTTAATCTGTAGCATCATCGACCATCATTAGCATACTATAACTAAAAATTTAACGAAAAATTTAACGAAAGGAAGGGTTTAATAAGCCGGAAAGTTTGCGTGAACAGAAAATGTTTAGTTGTGATTGATGTTTATAGTGTTTATAGTGTGATTGATGTTTATTATAGTGTTACTTACTGTTTTGAAGTGACAGACTATTAAAAAGTTAGAATAAAATCTGCACTCATTATTATTATATTATCACTTACTCTGTGAAGCGAACTGGCCGACTGTCCCTGTTACTGATATGTTTTGGGGTGACGCTTGTACTCTTCATATATTGAGCAACCTACGTTTTAAAAGAAGTTCGGGTTATGCAGTGAAAATTAAAACTCTAGCTCCGAATTAGGAATCACTGTTCCTGGTTATAATGAAAGAATGAGGTTTAGTCGCTCATGCGATAGTATATAATATGGTATAGATGGAACAACGCCAGAAGTGTTGGAAGATTTCTTTTGAACCAAAAACAAATTACTTGTAATACTAATATCTGTTATAAATAATCCTATGTAAGTCACACTGAAAACTACTTACATCGGAGGGTTGGAGGTTAAGGAAGTCAGGGACGTTAAAAGGTTCCTCCTTGTCTGCAGTGTCGCAATGTAGAGTGAGGGAGTGTACTGAACTGAATGTAAACAGTGAGGACAGACATCTTACCACCTTCTCCTGCGAATATAGTTACGGTTACTATGTGGTTACTATGTGGCTATTAAACGGTTACTTTACGGTTATTGTACAGTTTCATTAAGGTTGCTGTACAGTTACTATAAGGATTAATATGCGTTTACTCTTGTTGTGTCAACCCTCAAAACCTTTTTCAAAACATTTTGGATTAACTTCAAGTGGTGAAATGTCGAAAGTTAACAATTGGGGAAGAAAATGATGAGAAGCAGTATCGCAGCTGAAATCCAAAAGTATAAACCCGCCTATTATATTCGAAAACACGCATTAAATTTTCGTAGTTAAACCGGTGCAAAATTATGAAGTCGCTCAGCCCAAAAAGACCGGAATTTAAGCCCCTCAGTTTTCTGACTTTTATAACATTTTTTATAATCTGCTGCGTGCCATTAAATAACGAATTCAACATTTATTTTCAATTATTTGCAGTTTGTTGCGATTTTATCACATTTGACCTCAGTTTTTCTATTTAGTTTTGATATATTTTCTAGTAGTTATGTTTCTGGAGTGCCCATTGGGGTTTTTAATTTTAACTTATTATGATGTAAACAATAAATCAGAGACAATCCCCTTACGAGGGGCTTTTAAAAAAAAGAAAAAAAAAGAAAAAAGGTTAAGTTTTAAAAATTGTCCCACATTCAAAGCGCCAGCCCCCCTCCCCCTCCCCGTGGATGCTTGAACGTTTTTAGTAGAACATACTTCTGTCAAATTTGTTTTGCTGTCGATTTTGAACAATTCCCCATTATGAGCTTTACATTTGCAGGCTAAAACAATGAATGGAAGATGGGCTGTGTTAATCATTTTCCTGGTCTTAACATTATTTGAACTCAAACGCAGTTTTTTCATCAGTGAATTCAAAGGAAATCGTCCTAAAATTGAAATTGGGGTCCACGTCTCCAACAGTTCCACCGACCTCCATCTACCACCTCCATCTCAAGGCTGGGTTAAAGAACAATTAAACAAGACTTTATCACTGTTAGGTTACACGACTCACGAATCTCCCAATAAGTGGACTGGGAAAAATGAAAGAAATGCAAAACACACTTACTACTTTCCAAAAATAAAAACCATATTTACAGGAATACCAAAATCTGGGTGTTCGAACTGGATAGAGTTTCTACTGAAAGCTGAAGGTGCGCTGAATAAGAATTTAGATCCACGAGCCGTTTGGAAAGTTCATTCGATATACTCAGAACCATTCCGTATGTCCAATAATGCCGTATCAGAGGCGGCTAACAAAGCAAGCCTAGAAGATGATATATTCAGTTTTACAGTAGTTCGTAACCCCTGGACAAGGCTCGTGTCGGGGTATAGAGACAAACTTTCTGGAGAACACACACAGGGCAGAGCATTTACCTCTATGGCTCATATGATATCCAGGAAGATGAATATGATAGATAATATCACAAGCAGTCCTAGTCATCCAACTTTTAACCAGTTTCTCCGTTGGCTTGTGGATAATTTAGATAGATTAAACGTCCATTTTACTCCACAGTATCGAACATTGTACATCCCTGGGGTTACCTACGACTACATTTTGCCATTAGAATACAGCAATCTTCTCAGCCACGAAATACAAAATAAAATCAACACCTCAACGAAACTTTTTGGTTCCTACGACCATACAAGTGATCCGAGGAACCAAACGTCTGCACTGCGGGCCAAAGAGACGCTTTCCCAGCAGGGTCCGGAACTTATTGAAAGACTTTATCGTATATTTAAGACTGATTTTGCTCTGATGAATTACAGTAATTTTTCACACCCTGATTTCCCTTTACCAATACAATAGAACTAAAAAGTTGGGTACCATCGGGTTTACCATCGACCAGAATTTAATTTTATTCCAAATATTAAATTTTGTTAAATTTAATACTGCAACGTGGTATATATGTTCGTATATTTTGTTAAAATTTTCCCCCAATTTTATCGAAAATGGTAAAGCAAGTGTGATGAAAATTAGGTTATACTTCGGAGTAAGTAATTTCAAAAATATTAGGTAAGTGCTGAGACAAAAGCACCTGTGCCTGTAAAGTGTGTCGTTCAGATGGTTCATATTGGTGGTTACTGGTTAGGGGGTGGTTAGCTTTTGAAATAGCTGTCTACAAGAACAATTAAACGAGAATGAATGTGAAAAAGCTGAATCGCAAAACGAACGATTTCATTCTAAGTCTTATTTTGGCAACAGTTTTTCACGTTGAATTTATATAACCACGAATATTGACTGATTAAATTTTGTCTTTGTTACAATTTTTACTTTTGAGTTAATGAACTCTGATGATTATGTATGAATTTTATTTGATAGAGTGCTTATCTTAAAGTTAGATGTTTTTACAGGCTCTAATGATGTAGTTTTACGAAGATTTGTGTGTTTCCCTTCGTGTCCAAAAGCATTATATGAATTAATATAATTTCCTTTGACATGAAAATGGGAAACAGAAACTGAAGTCACGGCCACTCCTCCGCAATTTTGGGCCTTTAATTATAGAGAATGGATTATCCGATCTGAATCTAATTTAGAATTTAATAATTTGTAGAACTTATACTCACGGTGATAGGAGGATATACACAATAAAGCCACGGCACTAACGTCTCCACCACTTGGAAGGTGAGAAGTCTCCTAACCAAAGCTAGATGTTGTTCTGAGTTGTCTCCCACAGCGGGTTTTGAGGGACTGTTAACTCGGCCAGGCAGTACACTCAGAGCATACTTGTTGTAGAGCGAGTCTTGGAGGGTGGTGTACTGTGAGTTGTATCTGAAATATTCAGCAGTTATAATTCTTGAAGGGTGGTGTACTGTGAGTTGTATCTGAAATATTCAGCAGTTATAATTCTTTGAGGGTGCTGGGTGGTGTACTGTGAGTTGTATCTGAAATATTCAGCAGTTATAATTCTTGGAGGGTGGTGTACTGTGAGTTGTATCTGAAATATTCAGCAGTTATAATTCTTGGAGGGTGGTGTACTGTGAGTTGTATCTGAAATATTCAGCAGTTATAATTCTTGGAGGGTGGTGTACTGTGAGTTGTATCTGAAATATTCAGCAGTTATAATTCTTGGAGGGTGGTGTACTGTGAGTTGTATCTGAAATATTCAGCAGTTACAATTCTTGGAGGGTGGTGTGCTGTGAGTTGTATCGGAAATATTCAGCAGTTATAATTCTTGGAGGGTGTATATCGACTATCGAGATATACCCTAAATTATATGAGATGAAGTAGCTGAGCACTGGATGTAGGCTTCTAAAATTTAACAACGACAAACTGCTCAATCTATACTAATAATCTCAAGATGTGTGTTCGTTAGATTAATTTCTGAATGGTATGTTATTAAATAACAACGGTGAATGGATCCACGGAGGAGGGTATACCTAGCACTAGGGGCAATGTTCAATATTCGATATTTAATATTTGAGAGGTTTAAAACTTGAATATATTCCAATATTGAAGGAATATTGGGCTTGAGCCTTAGATCGCTTTTCTGACTGCTTTCGTATAGATATATTCTCGGGGAGCCCCACGATACTTTAAGTGAAACGAGCAGCTGCCACAGACAACACAGGGTTGCAACCTGTGTTACCTTATCGGACACAATTTGAGATGATGCAATGGAAAAGCAAAGCATTGTACATCAGTATTCTGATATTGCTACTCGCTTTACAACCAACCAAAACTGGTGAGTTTAGCTAAAACTAAAACCGGAGCTGCTTCAAAACGATTTAAAGAAGGATGTGACAGAACGATTCTATTTTTATTACGATTAAACCTTAAAGTTTGAACTGTATATAGTTCTAGCAATCAATATCGATAAGGTTCAAAATAATGAAGAAGCTGGGAACAAAATTACATAACTCAATATCTGATACTCAGGTACGAGGTGGTGTCAGCATGGAGACACATTTTTGAAAGACTACACTGCGAGACCTACCTATTATGTCAGTTTGAAAGAGGGGCTGAGCCGATGTTCAGTTAGAAACGGTAACTGTATAATATTGCCTTCTTTTCTAAATTACAAGATCAGGTCTTCATAAAATGAAACCTTGTCCAGGTATAATATAGGGGAATGCCATTTTCTTAAATTTTGGTAATTTCAGTACAATAAAGGGCATTTTATATTTAGATGTGAAAACCAAGCATAGAGATACATTGCACCATCCTGCTTCCTCATAAATGTTATCGATCCTCAATACAGATTTTGGAGGGGTGACCTATGAGCACGGATTAAGAAAATACACACTGAGACGAGGCTCCAACCCTATCCAAATCCCTTACGGAGAGATATCTTGGGTGCGCTGTGCCAAATCAAAAAGTAAGTCTTAAAATAAGACATTTCACAGACAAAAGATGTATGGTTAAGCAGGGCAGCTTAACGATACATGTTCTGAACGTTAAGCATAACTATGCAACAATGTTAAATACGGACGACGATAACAATACAACTAAGTAGTAAATGCAGATTGCTCGAAAGTAAATAAAATTCTAACCAACCTCCTAGTAGAGTCGAGAAGAGATCCACTATCGAGAGTCTGTAAGTTGAGACTACTGCTCACAGTCGTTAGCATTAAACTGAGTATCTTGATGACAGTTTCACAGTACACCAGTTCGTTTCGGGCCATCTCAAAGTCTCTGCCTGGAATCTTCAAGACAGAGTTATCACTTTCTATTTCTTGAAGTTGCCTGTCCAAGATCTGGGAGACCATCACGTTACGTTTTGTTTTCTTGATCAGGTTTATCTGGATCTTCTGGATCTTGTCTTGTAATATTTTCACGTAGCGGTGTTTTTCTGCAATTTTCTTCAAGTCCCGGAAGAGTCTGCTGCCAGTGAAAGCAAAGAATGATTTAGCCAGATCAGCATGAAAGGGAATTGAGCGCCCTTCTTTCTTTAGGGGGAAATGAAGAAGAGTGTAAACCGCTTCGAGCGCCATGAGTCTACATCTGAAATATCTAGGATCAGCGAACGCACCTTTCGACGTACACAGTTCCATGTATTTCTGAAGCATGTCCTTGATATCCGTCTTATTAACAGCCCGTTCAGGTACAGTTCTAGGTGGAGCTGTTTTGGGTCGTTTGGAGAGCTGAGGTTTAGTTTTAGGGAACACTACATCATGTACCATCTTCAGACCTCGGTGAGCCAGACTACGGTTCTGGGTGCTGAACAGCCTTAACAGAGCAGCTCCAGAGGCCGCTTTCACTTTCAAACATTTTGAGTGAGTGAAGAGGTTAGCCAGGTGTCTAACACAGGTCGCCTCATCTGCCCTCTCGTTGGTTAGTTTGCTGGTCACGTGATCTACCCCTGTGACGTCAGCACATATCGCGGAACACAGCAGTGCTGCTTGGTACTGCACTGGACACGTGGCGAACACCAGGACTCGTGATATTGTTTCTATGACAGCGTGGCAGATGAGGACCTTCCGTCCGAAGCTCGAGGAATGGGCGATGTTGCAGAAGATTTTGAGGATTTCCTCCTGGAGGAAGATGTCTTCGTCTAGATATAGTGCTTCTTCGCTGTCATCCCAATACGTCTGCTTTACCTGCAACTGGGAGATTAGTGTTGAACAAGAGACAAGATACATAACCCAATTCCTTAATTGAAAACTAGAGAACGTAACAACCGAAATACAGAGGATAATTGCAAAAGCCGATTGAAAAAAAGGATTCAAGTTTTTATATAAGCTGAAACCTGAGGCAGCATCATGCACTCAGGCAGAGCTGTATTAGCGAGAATATTAGCACAGCAGGGAGAGTCACTGAAGACCCGGAGCAGCAGAGTGCAGCATCGTGCCCTGGTGCCATCAAACGTCATCTTTGCGGTAGTCTGCTCCACTATTTGCTCCTTGTACACATCGTCCAACCAGTAGTCGTGGTGTGTGGAGTGTGTCACCTGCTCACAGTGGAGTTACTTGTCACTTTTTTAATATTGGCTTAAAAATTGTTATCATTATTTAACGTCTTGCAGTTTTTATTAGATTTAGTCCATAGGAAGCAGTGAATGGGGCTTAGTTCTTTGAACTTTCCGTGCTTACAGTTACAGACACCGTTACATGAATACATTAACAGCCATATATTGAGTTTTCACTCTGGAGTCTGGTGGGATGGACCGCTAGTAAGTAAACATTCCAGAGTATTAAGATAGAAACAGTCACAGTATAAATAATGTTGGCAACCAATGCTTACGTTTTCAATAAAGTTGATGATGGGATTGAGAAGTTTACTCGGGCAGTCGTCACTGTTAATAAGTGCCACCCACTTCCTTAACACTAACATGAAGAATTCTTTTATCATCATTTCACCCAACTCTTTCTTTGTGGACAACCTGCAAAAAGGAGGACGTTGAAATAAGAATTCCGAATAACATCAGTGATGGATTTGATTGTCCACTGTTATCAAATGTTTAAAAAATAATAATTATGAGATATGAAAATGCTTTAGTGAAAAAGAAAAAGCATTTTGCATATATAAATATTCTGTATGTATACTAAAATCGACAGACCTTTCTAAGATGCAGAGCGCCGCAAGAACTTTCATCTCACTGGAATCATCTAGAAGATCTCTGATGCCCTCAATCTCCACAATGTTTAACTGTCTACCAGGTGTAAAGGAGCTGAGATGTTGAGCTAGCTCGGTGTAGGTGACACTGCTCTCTAGTTCCCCAACTATGTGGAGGTAGTGAGAAAGTGCTAGCCGCTCTGATGTACCTTCGTTTACTCTGAAGAAGATGGTCGATATAGTGAAAGTTTGTATGATATGATCTTAAAAGTTTGAGTTCAAGTTTGTATATTTTAGCACAAGATTTTCTAGTAGGCTAGAGATGTAAATCATGAAAAATAATTGTCACGTTTTATTAATATCAAAGAGATGAGAGGGGAAGTGTTGACTGGTATCAAGTATGATTCCTTCAATATTCCTACATATGATTTAAAAACATTCCTAAAATACTAATTTCTAAAACAGAAAGTACTCACCTTAACTCCTCATCAGGCTCGTCCAAAACATAGCACTCGCACTCGTAATTAGGCTGAAGTGTCGAGTCGTATATCTCAGACTCACTTATTGTTGGCTCTGTGAACTCGCTAAGTGCCACTTGGGATCCTAAAGGAGTCATCACTAGATATTATTAGTTTCAATAATTCGATATCCTGATGAAGTTTTAAAACAAGCTATAATGTTTATGGTACTCTGAGTCAATAAGCAAACCTGGACCAGGACGCGAGTATGGAGGAGCAGATTGGGCTCTCTGTCTTGGTGTCCAACCAGAGGATGGCTGAAATATAACAGGTTTAATCGAGTTGTGCTACATTATTTATGGGTCATTAAAACAAAGATAAAAAAGCTAAACAATGCAGTCTTCTATTTAAATATTTAGCTATATCCTTCTTTGTTATGGAAATTTTTGTAGCTATTGTCCGTGATGAATTAGATCCATTTAACAAGAATATGTTGGTGTAGGTTCTCGAGTCTCAATACAAAATGTTGTCATTTTCTTAGTTTTCCTGGTCACATTTCAGTGTTTTCCTTGTCCTCCTTCTCTCCAATTTTTCGAAGCCAGATATCTTACTGCATGAATTGAGCATTCATACTGACTTGGCACTGAAGAGTGGTGCAAGGTACTCTGAATACCGCCCTAGGTCCACCCTAGGTTCCCCTGTCGTAACAGCAAGACCCCCCAACTCTTTCGTTCACGGCGCGACTACAATTATTTCAATTTGTTAAATTGAACGTTCTCCGAAAATCGATACAGTGCCGGTCTGAGTCTGCATGACATCCGTTAGGAGGAGTACCAGTCTTTTAGGTGGCAGGCACCACAACCCTGGGGTAAACTCACCGTGCTATGTAGCACTGTACGGTAAACGCACCGTGCTAAGAGCAGGATAGGGTAGGATGGAACTCCCAGTAGGTACTATCGCCTGGATGCAGCCGTGTGCACTGTACATCTAATTACACGGAATATTAGTCATGAGCTGACGTCACTGTTGGAGGGAATCGCTAATAATGTGGCCCTTCTGTTACTCTGTGCACTGCACTGGATCTCTCACTTGAAACCCAGTCAGTAATTAACAAATAATGGAGTGACGACATAACGAATGACACTATATATACAGTTCCATGGCCAGCGCTATATGTCTCCATAGTAATATGGCCCGGAGAGGTTTTGCTTCTGTATTTGCTACATCGTAGGAAGTGTTACCTCATTTACAATTTTGGCATTTTGTTCGCACGCACAGCTCGAAAGTGAAAGTTACAATTACATTTACGTCATCACATTCATAATTTAGATATATTGCAAAGCTCGCCAAAATGAACATTTTGATTGAGTAGTTTAACATTCTGCCCTACCTTTGCATAACTGATATTACCGCGTTTCAACTTTCTCTGTTTCTAAGCTCTTGATCATAAATTCGTGTTCAACCGTAATATAATTCTCGCTCACAGATTTTGCATATTTTCCTTTACATTGCTCGACAGACGACAGTGGTACTTCATTTAACTTCAAAGGCTCATATTTCAGATACTTTGAAGAGTTTGACCGAATGAAAATACTGTCTGAGTATGTACTATAATTGTTGCCCTGCCCTTGCTGCATAACTGATCTTACCGTTTCGGGTTTCTCCATTTCTATGCTACGGATCGTAATTAAGTGTTCAACAGTATAATCGTAGTACACCGAACAAATTCTCAAAGCTATTGACGTCACTAGGATAATTTGTACCATGATTTATCCTCGTCGTGGTATTTGTATCTATTGGAGAACTTCAATTGCCGTGCAAGTCAACAGTTTCCCTTTTGTACTTATTGCAACCATGCGTTATATACTGTGTTACAATTTATTTGCTGTTCTCAATCTTTAGAATAAAGTTTAATGTAATTTTGTACGCCATAATTACTTTTAGGTACGATAAGATGATTCCTAAGAGTAACCACACGCTCGATATGAAAGACGAAGAACGGCACTTTTGGACAGCCTACAACCTCATAATATTCCTGTTCTCATTCACAGGAAACACAGTTATCCTCATAGTGACAACTAAAAACACTTCCTTTAAACTACACAGGGTAATCGTAGTCATCTTGCAACATCACGCTGTGAACAATCTCCTGTTTTCTGTGTTTAAAGTAATGATACCGGAAGTGACACGTGATACTTCAGACCACATGATACTGAGTGATATCCTGTGCTTCATCCAGGATCATGTTAACTGGATCTACTGTCCACTGGCTGGCAGTCTAACATGTGCTCTGTTGGTTGCTAAGTTACTGATGATAAGGATCCCTCTAAGACCTAGAAACTGGTCGAGCAGCTCTGCTCACTCAGTCTGCGCCCTGGTGTGGGTATTCGTTATCTATCTGTGTGTGCAATCAGGCCCTGTTTTTAGCAACTCAGCCTGTGCTAACCAACAGACGGAGCTTCCTAAAGTTGTTTGGAGAGAGAAGAGTGATTTTATACAGAGCGTATGTTTTGTGGTTCTAGCATCAACAATGATCCTAACATCTGTCCTGATACCATGCAAAGTAAGGAGGAGAACCGTGCACCAGCTACACTGGCAGAGTTTACTGGGAGTCACTCTCGTTACCACTATTTACCTTCTCTCATTCCTTCCCTGGTTCACTGTCAATGTGACAAGACATTCTGACTACAGTCCCCCTCTGCTGCACGCTGTTAAATACCTCAGGAACATAAACGTTATCTCAATTATAATTTACTGTTTTCTGGAGAGGAGTTTCAGAGAGTTCTTGAAGGTAAAGTTGCGAAATTTATCAAGCTGCGTTGGGAGGAGACACTTTTCGGAACTAAATGGGAGCAGGGAATGCATCCTTGAAGGTTCCTGACTGATTCCCCACGGTACAAGAGACAGATATCCTATTCTCGTTAATTGACGAGACCACGAACGAATTGAAAATTGCGTTACTATTTTAACCGATTGATTGACTGATTACCAAGTAGGTCGACCACCCACTTCTCACGTGCCCCTTCTAACAACATGATATTTGCAGATTCTTCTAATTAATGGGTATTCTTTTTTAATCTTGTATCCTTGACTAATCCTTGATCCTAATTGACTACGGTTAGTTCTTATTTGTAATTTGAGTTTGTAGTATTAATTATGTTGTTATTTCAAAGCTTTTTTGCACATTGTATTGATTGCTGTGCATGGCTCAAAGTCTACAGTAAGCTGTAGACTTTGAAATGCTCATTATAGCTTTATAGATTCATGATTTTGGGAATGGTTCCAAAGAGATTCATCGCCATTTGAGTCCATGTCAGTACCTAAATATCGCACAAAAGATACCGGAAGATAAAATTCGAAATAAAGTAAATCTTACTTACCCTTTCCCAAGTCCTGAGTACGATAGGTTTGCAATTTCCGAATATTTTCAGCGGTATTGGGTAGTTAATACTACACTCCTTGCTATCGAGGTTTATCTTCCGTTGGGTCTGGGGATATGTTCACTGAGTTAAAATCGCATGAGAATTCATCTGATCGTACCACATGACCAGACAAGGTCCAGTTTATTATCTCTATTAGCAATTAGACAAGTTGTTCGTTTCACAGCCCTACAGTTCGTTGTTACTGATCAACCCAGTAGGCCAATGAGAAATAGAAAGAACAATTAATGAAAGTGGAACTCACCGTTGAATAGTTGAGGGACTCCCTTTTGGCCCGTTTCTCTAAAGATCTGATGATAATGTTTTGGGGTTTACCGCAGATGCCCTCAGGGAAGTCACTACGACACACATGAGTAGGCTCTGGGGGGAGGCGGGGCTTGAACGTCTCCCTGGCCATGGACAACCTTAGGAGTATACATTACGTAAGTTAGAGTGTACCAGGTCAAAATATTTTGAAGTAGTGTTTCCTTAAAAGTTGCATTTTAGTAGTCAAGCAGACGCAGTTATCAATTCAAATCAGTATCGATGAGACTAAATAACCGTACGCTGCTATTTGAAATAAAATAGATGTTAAACAGAAGCAGTAGGTAGAGTTAAAAGCTAGCAGCGCGTTTTGGAATTTGGTTTAAAGATAACACAATCATGCTAGTAGCATGATTGATGTTGATATCTTTAAACCTAATTTCAAAATTAAACGCACGCATCCAACGGAATATAATTCAAATATGCTATACCTCAAGTCAATTTGGCGAGGTTTTCCTTCAGAATCTCTATCCTGGAATTCGTGTCGTGATCTGTACAAGTCGATAGGCCGGACAGGTCCAACAGGTGCTGTAACTGGTCTGGCCATGTCACTGAGGCGACCAGGACTGAATGGCCTGATTCCTTCCGTTGTGCGGAGTGGTATAGATATTTTCCTCGTATCTTGGCTAACTTTGTAGCTTTCTTCTAATCTGCAGAAACAATTCTTTATCAATATAATATTCTTTATTATATTATACAATCTGAAGCTAGAATCGATATAGATTTGTCGACATTGCCGGGATTTTCGTGGACAGTACTAATGGGAATGGCTACGAATTTCATGTTGGTTATGTTGCTGAATTGACAGGCACAGGTGGCATCTGGCCATCTCATCTACAATCTACATGCGTCATGTAATTGTTGGGACATTCCGGACCAGTAGTCCGCCTACATGCTGGTTACAATCTCTTGTAGAATAGCGGTCAATACTCAACGTTATATAGACATGGCGCTGTAGACTGTAGAGCATTTAACAGTTCACCTGTTTATAAATTATGGGATTTTCTTTTATTGTTACCATTGTGCCAGGTACTGCATGGAGGAGGTCCAAAACGTACACCGTTCAGAAAAGCATGTCATGGAGAATGTTTGTTTACTGATCAAGTAACTACCCCTGTACTCTGACTCTTCAGATCCAATGTCCAAACATTAAGATCTCTCGTGCTATGCAGCGGTGCTAGAGTATAAGCAATAAGGACAATACCTACTGAGTACTAATCCGGCGAAGTTCATGTCCTCAAGTCAGCTCGGTTTAAAAGCCACTTTAAAGCGCTCCAAATATTTAAAACTCAACAATAGAATTTAAACAGAGACGGAAAGCCTACGCTTAATAATAATAATAACATGCTACCACATGCTAGCTGACACCAACTGTCACAAACGAGTAGGTCTTGTTAACTAGTGCAAGTGGTTCTATTTTACTGTACAAAATTGCTGCAGACTTTGTTTCATTTTATTGTTGGCAGTGGCACAGGTTATGATTTGCTAAGTTATCAAATTTAAAGTGATGTTGGGAGAAAAAATATTGTTTCAGAGGATGTGGAAGACATCAAACTGTTTCCATTAAATTTCAATCTAAAAGTTCTTTAGAAATGCTACAGAACACGTGTCAGTGCACGGTTAAGATAAAACGTGTGATTCACAAAAACAGAAATACTCAAGCAGATTGAGATCGTATCTGACCTGTAATGTTTGAGCTCGGGGTACATCTTGACCTTTTCCAAGTCTTCGAGTTTAAAAGGAGGCCCATTTCCATTATCTCCCGACAGAGTAGGCTCAGTGAAGGCCGGAACGGAGTATCTGGTCTGTACCATCGCCTGAAACATCTCAAATATCAGACACACCACTTTCACATAATACTGACAGAATGGAGGTGTTCAATTTCGTTTTCAGATATAAACAGAGTTAGGGTACGGTAATAACTAAAATGCATAGTGCATACACAACACACTCGGGACGTATTTTTTCAGATTATAGAAGAATGCATTTGAGAATGGGATCGTCAAGTTTACACCCCTTCCACGAATGCAAGTTAATCGTCAGTAGTATGGTTATAAGAGTCAGTAGTACGGTTATAAGAGTCAGTAGTACGGTTATAAGAGTCAGTAGTACGGTTATAAGAGTCAGTAGTACGGTTATAAGAGTCAGTAGTACGGTTATAAGAGTCAGTAGTACGGTTATAAGAGTCAGTAGTACGGTTATAAGAGTCAGTAGTACGGTTATAAGAGTCAGTAGTACGGTTATAAGAGTCAGTAGTACGGTTATAAGAGTCAGTAGTACGGTTATAAGAGTCAGTAGTACGGTTATAAGAGTCAGTAGTACGGTTATAAGAGTCAGTAGTACGGTTATAAGAGTCAGTAGTACGGTTATAAGAGTCAGTAGTACGGTTATAAGAGTCAGTAGTACGGTTATAAGAGTCAGTAGTACGGTTATAAGAGTCAGTAGTACGGTTATAAGAGTCAGTAGTACGGTTATAAGAGTCAGTAGTACGGTTATAAGAGTCAGTAGTACGGTTATAAGAGTCAGTAGTACGGTTATAAGAGTCAGTAGTACGGTTATAAGAGTCAGTAGTACGGTTATAAGAGTCAGTAGTACGGTTATAAGAGTCAGTAGTACGGTTATAAGAGTCAGTAGTACGGTTATAAGAGTCAGTAGTACGGTTATAAGAGTCAGTAGTACGGTTATAAGAGTCAGTAGTACGGTTATAAGAGTCAGTAGTACGGTTATAAGAGTCAGTAGTACGGTTATAGAGTCAGTAGTACGGTTATAAGAGTCAGTAGTACGGTTATAAGAGTCAGTAGTACGGTTATAAGAGTCAGTAGTACGGTTATAAGAGTCAGTAGTACGGTTATAAGAGTCAGTAGTACGGTTATAAGAGTCAGTAGTACGGTTATAAGAGTCAGTAGTACGGTTATAAGAGTCAGTAGTACGGTTATAAGAGTCAGTAGTACGGTTATAAGAGTCAGTAGTACGGTTATAAGAGTCAGTAGTACGGTTATAAGAGTCAGTAGTACGGTTATAAGAGTCAGTAGTACGGTTATAAGAGTCAGTAGTACGGTTATAAGAGTCAGTAGTACGGTTATAAGAGTCAGTAGTACGGTTATAAGAGTCAGTAGTACGGTTATAAGAGTCAGTAGTACGGTTATAAGAGTCAGTAGTACGGTTATAAGAGTCAGTAGTACGGTTATAAGAGTCAGTAGTACGGTTATAAGAGTCAGTAGTACGGTTATAAGAGTCAGTAGTACGGTTATAAGAGTCAGTAGTACGGTTATAAGAGTCAGTAGTACGGTTATAAGAGTCAGTAGTACGGTTATAAGAGTCAGTAGTACGGTTATAAGAGTCAGTAGTACGGTTATAAGAGTCAGTAGTACGGTTATAAGAGTCAGTAGTACGGTTATAAGAGTCAGTAGTACGGTTATAAGAGTCAGTAGTACGGTTATAAGAGTCAGTAGTACGGTTATAAGAGTCAGTAGTACGGTTATAAGAGTCAGTAGTACGGTTATAAGAGTCAGTAGTACGGTTATAAGAGTCAGTAGTACGGTTATAAGAGTCAGTAGTACGGTTATAAGAGTCAGTAGTACGGTTATAAGAGTCAGTAGTACGGTTATAAGAGTCAGTAGTACGGTTATAAGAGTCAGTAGTACGGTTATAAGAGTCAGTAGTACGGTTATAAGAGTCAGTAGTACGGTTATAGGAGTCAGTAGTACGGTTATAAGAGTCAGTAGTACGGTTATAAGAGTCAGTAGTACGGTTATAAGAGTCAGTAGTACGGTTATAAGAGTCAGTAGTACGGTTATAGGAGTCAGTAGTACGGTTATAAGAGTCAGTAGTACGGTTATAGGAGTCAGTAGTACGGTTATAAGAGTCAGTAGTATGGTTATAAGAGTCAGTAGTACGGTTATAAGAGTCAGTAGTACGGTTATAAGAGTCAGTAGTACGGTTATAGGAGTCAGTAGTACGGTTATAAGAGTCAGTAGTACGGTTATAAGAGTCAGTAGTACGGTTATAAGAGTCAGTAGTACGGTTATAAGAGTCAGTAGTACGGTTATAAGAGTCAGTAGTACGGTTATAAGAGTCAGTAGTACGGTTATAAGAGTCAGTAGTACGGTTATAGGAGTCAGTAGTATGGTTATAAGAGTCAGTAGTACGGTTATAAGAGTCAGTAGTACGGTTATAAGAGTCAGTAGTACGGTTATAAGAGTCAGTAGTACGGTTATAAGAGTCAGTAGTACGGTTATAAGAGTCAGTAGTACGGTTATAAGAGTCAGTAGTACGGTTATAAGAGTCAGTAGTACGGTTATAAGAGTCAGTAGTACGTTTATAAGAGTCAGTAGTACGGTTATAAGAGTCAGTAGTACGGTTATAGGAGTCAGTAGTACGGTTATAAGAGTCAGTAGTACGGTTATAAGAGTCAGTAGTACGGTTATAAGAGTCAGTAGTACGGTTATAAGAGTCAGTAGTACGGTTATAAGAGTCAGTAGTACGGTTATAAGAGTCAGTAGTACGGTTATAGGAGTCAGTAGTACGGTTATAAGAGTCAGTAGTACGGTTATAAGAGTCAGTAGTACGGTTATAGAGTCAGTAGTACGGTTATAAGAGTCAGTAGTACGGTTATAGGAGTCAGTAGTACGGTTATAAGAGTCAGTAGTACGGTTATAAGAGTCAGTAGTACGGTTATAAGAGTCAGTAGTACGGTTATAAGAGTCAGTAGTACGGTTATAAGAGTCAGTAGTACGGTTATAAGAGTCAGTAGTACGGTTATAAGAGTCAGTAGTACGGTTATAAGAGTCAGTAGTACGGTTATAAGAGTCAGTAGTACGGTTATAAGAGTCAGTAGTACGGTTATAAGAGTCAGTAGTACGGTTATAAGAGTCAGTAGTACGGTTATAAGAGTCAGTAGTACGGTTATAGAGTCAGTAGTATGGTTATAAGAGTCAGTAGTACGGTTATAAGAGTCAGTAGTACGGTTATAAGAGTCAGTAGTACGGTTATAAGAGTCAGTAGTACGGTTATAAGAGTCAGTAGTACGGTTATAAGAGTCAGTAGTACGGTTATAAGAGTCAGTAGTACGGTTATAAGAGTCAGTAGTACGGTTATAGGAGTCAGTAGTACGGTTATAAGAGTCAGTAGTACGGTTATAAGAGTCAGTAGTACGGTTATAAGAGTCAGTAGTACGGTTATAAGAGTCAGTAGTACGGTTATAAGAACTGTACGTGGTTTACTTAAGTACACAAATTGAAGAAGCTAATAATAGTAATGAGAGTTACAGGAATACACTAAAATGAACATACGACAGAAATGGTGGAGTTGAGTGGGAATCTACCGTTTATCAAAAGCATTATCATTTATCATGCAACAATCAATAAGCATAAGTGGTGAACAAAATAATACGTTGTGGTCGAAAACGTTGACTTTTGAATGAATCGACTATAAGGATTATTTAGGTTTAAGGCTTCTGCAAATTTAAAACACCAGCGAATATCAATCAAGCATAATCGGTGACACGGCGCTGCAGTTAAATAACGTATGACAATGATGTATTAATATTATCCATGACGATGAGCTATCATTGCTTCTTGCTACAAAATTAATTCAATGATCGCAGATAATATGCAATTATGTACAAAATATTTTATTCAAAAGCCGAAGTATAAACAAGCGAGAAATTGCTTTGATAAAACGGACTTAAATCAGACTTATATAAAAAACTAAACACAGTTTAAAACCGGTTTTCGAGCTACAGTGTGGCCCATATATAAAACAAATGGATCATTTACGGCGACATCCACGGAACGATACTAAGTTTACAAATGGAAAAGAAACTAAGACATGTACTGTGATTATGATACGAAAATGTGATATTGACTTCAAATGCAGGCGTCTTAAAACTTCACAAGAACGGAGCTACAAGTCTCGAACACGTAGTGAGTGCAGTGCGCATACAGAAGTTAACATTTCAGAAGTTAATGAAATGTTGGATCATTTCAAGCATGTCCTATCTGTAAGACGTCTCATGAATAGACTAACTATGTTTTAAAAAGGCGGTTCATTTTTAAAACAAAGTTAAAGAGAAAAATATGTCAAATTTAAACTAAATAGCATCTGACATGTACACCGTTGTCGTAAACAACCCCCCAATCAGATTGAAGCAAATCTTGTGGCCGCAAATTAACAAGAAATCTCTTAGCTGGGGTGGCCAAATCCGCCTTGAGCCGGTGAAAAACATGTCAATAAAATCAATAGAACTAGTGTGTGGTCGGCTGGTGTAACTAGTGACTAGCGAGGAGGAGGAGTATTATAATTATTATACACCTGTTAATATACTAATATACTCAGGTGTGACAATTGAGCAACATGCAATTGCGGAGTGCAACTGCAACATGCACAAAAGTAATTGTAAATTGAATCTCACCACACCGAGTAGTCGCGGACATCCGACCTGGACTTCTAGGTGTTCTACTTCTAGGTTAGCTGCACAGTGCACAGATTATCTCCTCGTCATTTCGGGTGAGATTTTTGGATCGATTAAATTCTTAAAGCATTTCTTTTCACTTTCATTTTAATTTTCAGTTTAAATCACATTCAGGTTTCAGATCGAGTGATATTCATATCGATATCAGATCTACTCGATCATTAATCGCTGACCGTCGGAAACAAATGAAACATCTAGCTCTTGGAGATCAAGGGTCGGACCTTGATCAATGTTCAAACTGAATAATAACAATTACAACACAGCACAGCTGTTAACATGACACATTTCCACAATCGAATGAAAGCTCCTCTTTGGAAACCAGTATGTTTATTCTATTTTTCGCATTGCATAACCAAAACAATCTTCACCAATTCTGACAAGCTATATACCAAAGTGTCCTCTCTTGATGATATAAGGGCCAGACGCGTGTTCTTTGAAAATCGTTCTTGAAACATAAAGTTGATACGCGACTGGTGTTCTAGAAGTTTTATAATAACTTGTGTTGATCGTCTTCAACGAGCTTCATAACAATGCAATTGCGGTTCACTGCAGTACTTACTACTTAGCGCCTGAAAAGAAATTTAAATTAATGTTACATGATTGAAGTTGAAGCGATTTCGCTTGAAACCATCTTAGAAAGATTGGACCATTATGCCAACATGTAATACATTTTCTCAGTTATTGATTGATGATCGCCCTATTCAATTTACCGTGGACAGAGGTGTTGCAGCTAAAGAGTCTTTGTGGTCTACAGTAACTGTAATTATATACCGCGGTTGTAAAGTCTAGTCTGGTGCAACACCGGTCCTATCTCAAGTGCATGTTCGTCACAGTTACGATATATAAATTTATTGTTGAAATGAAATCAGTGTTTTGTTTGTAAATAATTGTCGAACTTCTGTCTAAAAGTAAACTGTAATAGCTAAAGCTATATATTTCTTTATAGTTCATCACTCATCAGGTAATTATAAAATTGGATGCACAAATCACGGAGAAATCATGCAAATAAGCGGAGCATTAAGCAATGAAACGGAGAAGATGGGAGCTCGACAAAATTAGGACATATTGATTTTGAATATGCGATTTCGTGCATTGACAAACCGTGCACAGCATCAAAATGTCTCCAACATCGTTGGTGGGTAATCAAATGAAGTTAAATCACGATGTCTACAATCTCACTCAAACTGACCTATCCAGCTCAATTTATCAGCTGACTTTATCAACAGTTTTGTCGAGGATAGCAATGGGGGCCAGTACCCGTGATCTGTTAGACTCTGTTACAAAACCGTTAACAACTATCTCGTCTAGAATCATGTGAGCTCGGTCCACATTGTGCATCAGATCCAGTTCACATACGTTGCTGAAATATTAATTAATTAAATGTAAATTGGGACTTGGAAATGCCCATCATTACTTTACACAGGACCAATAAAATGTTCATTTAGATGATACATATATTAGGATAGTTTACCTAAAGTATGAGTTGAGAGTTTCAACAAGGTTGTGAATAAAGGCAAAGTGAGCCATGACATTGTCATCAGGGGAGACTCCGAGTACGAAAAACAAGGACGCGTACTGTCTGAATATTATCCTCACTTCTTCACTCCCATCCATTGTCAAGAAGTGGGGGCACTGAAATTATATTCAGATTTAAGTTCATCATTCTTTAACTGAATAGCAATCTTGAAATAGTGAAATGTTTCGTATATCTACTGAGACTTTATAAAACTTGCATAAAAACTTTGTTAAACCGACCTGGCTGGGGCTGTTTCGTTTCAAGCAGTCGTGAAGAATGGACCTAGGGTCAGGTAGGGGGCGAGTAGTGTAACTCCTGGACACTCGCACTGCACCCGTCTTGTTGCAAACTAACAGAAACTCTATCATCCTATAGTTAAATAATTCATGTTGTCAGTAATTAATTTAAATTAATAACTGTCTCATTCAAATTTCATTTAGCAATTGATCAGGAAATTTGTCTGCAGTTCTTAGATCTCAAATTCCTGATAAAATACCTTTATCAATATTCAATATCATGTTGGGACAGTTTTCAAATATGGCACGGTTGAATTGCTCAACGAATAATCAAGAGTTTTGAAGTAAAAACAACAGTATACGTTCAATCATATAATTCTACATAAATGAGTGACATTACAAATTTGTACATAAAATTTTAATTCCAGCTAGAATAGTTAAGAAATCATACAAACAGGCGTTATATATTAGTAAAACTAAAAATCATAAAACATAAAATCAAACAACTGAGGGCTATTAGGGCTATCAAGGCATGCAAAATTAGAGTAAAAATTGGCTAAATAAGTTGGCAGGTTTTTAACACTTTCACCATACCAAAATTTGACCAACAAGTTGTTAGCCGAAGATATCATAGGCGGTAATTTTAATATCGAGTAAAATATAGTTACAAATCCCCAAAGTTATACGCGAGTTCTCATCTCGACTTCCGCAATAAATTGTAATAATAGTTGTTAAAAAAAGTTTAGAGCACAATTGAAAATGTTTAAGATATCTGATAAAATGATCTAGCATCTACTCCTATAACTATGCCCCAACTATAATCTAGTCTAGGGACTCTACACATAATCCACATGTGATAATTAGAACCAGATCCAAAGATGTCATTTCAGGACTTCAGTTGCTGCATGTCAGCCCCGGGAAATCTTCAGAAGCTTCTGAAGGGTATTCCTCTATCTATTTGTCTTTGCGTTGATGATTCTTGAAAACTTCTCTCTGAACCTGAAATAACGATTATTACTTTAGGGGTTTTCAATATTAAACAGAAACGTGTTTGATTTCGCACACGTTTGCCACATGTTATACCCATAACTGAGGTTAACCATTATGGCTTACTTCAATAGTTACTATTAAATGTAGCAGTGGCTCCAAAATCAAACAGATTGCGAGCATGTAATATTCCTTACTTCATGGTGGAGATCTTGGAAGAGTCCGAAGAAGAAGCAGTACTCGAAGAAAACAAAGAAAGGAGCAGTGAGAAAGGCCTGGAGAAGGCTGTCGAAGAGAGCTGGACGTCTACCTTCAAACTTTCCGTGCCCTGAAGATGTTTATTTAGTGCTACTGGGTTAAACAGTGGGCCATATTTATATATATCCTAAAAATCCTGATTTTGCCACCGAAAAGATTTGAAGGCAACTGCAAATAGCTGCAAAGGCGACCAAATTCGGACAAATAAAGTGAGATATGAGTATTACCAACGAATTGAGCGACCCAGGAGACCACGTGAATCCCTACAAGCCACATCCACTTATCCTCACAGTCAGCGTTCCAATACTCGTGTGCCCCGTATGCCTGGTGAAGTGGTGAAATCTTTCTTGTCACTTACTGTCAATTCTATCAGTTTTCAGTCGTGATTTGGACGCTTCATATACTGTACAACAAGGTTATTCATCTTTGTCATATTATCTCCTTGGTTAAATCAAAGTAAGAATATTACTATACAAAACAGATCATGTTTTTTATTGTCAATATCCCATATTAATTATTAATGTTTTTAGGAACAATTTCCACAGAATGAACAGAAAGTACAGTAATAAACCGACTTTTATTACTATACTCTTTGTTGTCCATCGTAAATTAGCTAATGCGAGACTTAATGTCAGCGTTGGAATGCTCAGTCCTACCATCAATATGAACAATAAAATGACCAATAATGAAATCAGACAGGAAGGGTATAATGTCAGTAAAAAAAGTTGACCGCACAGCCAGTAGCAACAATAATTTTCTGTGGAACTAACTATTTGACTCACCATTCCAGAGAGTATAGGTAAAGTTATAAGTCCGACGGCAGGGAAAAGGTAGATGTAGTAGAGAATGTAGATAAGAGTAGCAAGATAAGATACAGTAATATCTAGAGTGAAGTCTGAGACCGTTACTGTCGTTATGTCGATAGGGGCCAACATTGCCATACCTGAGAAGAGAGGATTGAAAAACAATTATTACAATAAAATATACACCAGATTTTCTGTCTTCGAACAATTTGGTTGACAGTGAATTCCGTATTACAATATATATATTATATCCCACCTGTCCAAAGAAGAAGGGGCACACAGACAGCGTGGATGAGTTTGTTGATAGCATCGCTGTGATAACTTCCGTAGAATATCAGCTCCTTCTTCAAAGTTTCAGACGTCATGACCTTCCTATTACAGGTTCAAATTGTTACACAGAAATAATGTGCTATTGCAACTTTGGAAAATCAATATCAAAAGATACTGCTGCCTGAGAAAAGGCATATGTTAACATCCCATAATTTCTTTGTTATGAAATCAGTTATGACGATTTTAAGGTTTCTTAATCACTTTTGGTTATCAACGCAGTGGCGAAACGTTGCATGTTGGCGCCCCTCCCCTTTTAGCGCCCCTCTCTAAAATTTGTTTAAAAAAGTTTTGATAGTACTGAAGTTAAGTTTTTCAAAATTGTCCCACATTCAAACGACTACAGCGGGGTCAGCGGGGTCAGCGGGGCCCTTCGTTACGCCACTGTATCAGTGTTTGTCATTCACATAAGAACTTTGACCATACAGTAAACATAGAAATTTCGACCAATTATATTACTATATTAGTACAAATTATTTAAGCAAACTTTACATTTAAACACAAAATTACTCGCCATTCAACCAACTTATTAAAAAATAAGCTGGCTTTAAGCATTGTTAAAGCTCCCGTTAAAGCTTCTTTCACAGTATGGAAGTTAATGTTTGAATAATCTTCACATAAAAGAAGAAAGTATAAGAAGTTGATATCTTAATTGAAACCATTTTAAAATTGACAGTCATTTATTTTTAGCAACATATCACAGACAAAAACGCACAATGACTATTGCATATTCATTTAAATTCGATCAGATCTAAATTTATCAAAAAAAACATTCTTTGCAGAGCGTCATTATATAAACCTACGTCCCTAGAACAAGACTTTAATAGTGATACAATATTAGGAAGACAATGTTCAATCCACATTCCAAATGTACATCAGACACAGTATACATAATGTTTACAATGGAAATGTTTAGTTTGGAATGTTTAGAATGGAGAAAGCATCCACTCAGTCTTTGTAAGTCCCCTACAAGTAGCTCTACTTGGTTCCCCAAACATTCCTCTACCTCGAGAAGTCTTAAAGAAGTCCCCGACCACACCCTCGTCCCCAGATATGCCGCAGGTTCACAACAAGGAAGACTCCTAGAATTTCAATGAGTCCTCACTTTTCCAGGAACGTAGTTTTTGTCTGAAAACAAATATTTAAAACTCTCTTTTTTTTAGCGGCTTCGGAATTCATGTTGCACGAGTTCACGGAGCATGGTGGATGGGATCTCAGTTCATCATCAACCATCGTTAGAATGTAACATGACATGCATCTATCAAACCGAAGTTATGTTAAAACCGCACGTGTTCAGAAAAAGACAAAAAATATGATCTAAACGAATGATTATGGTTAAGAAACTTACCAATCATTGGCTCCGTGAGGAACATGTGCAAGCATTTCTCGTTTTGTGCCAAAGGATGTCCAGCAATCTTATTGATGAACCCCTCAATTCCTTGCCTCCGGTCTTCGATAAAATCTTCCTCGAATATACCTGAAATTTCCATATCTTAATAAGTTTTAGCGACGAGTTAGCACTCAGACGAATGCAAAGGATACGAGATGCTAACAATACTATATTTCAAATGGATACAACGTGTAATGCATTGCTATATTTATTAACCACACAATGCACTCAAGCCAGTCAATCACGGAACACAATGTGTGACCATTCGCGTAAGTAGATTCTAAATTCTACATATGCGCGCGCACCAAGATACGTGAAATTGCGCGAAAACAGGGGTCCTTTCATTTTAAACGAAAAACAAAAACTAGCAATACAACAATCAAAATATGGAATGTGAAACAGGATTCTTAAAATGCTTGTTGTGTTTAAATATTTGTAACTCGGATCAATCCTTTTAAGCTAGTTAATTAGTTGCAAATAGGTAGATGGCCGCCTAAATGATGATGACAGACAACAAATGCTCATATTTTATCCTAACTTACCGTCATCCCCTCTGAATGGAAGAAGTCTCTTTATAGCTTTTCCTGGCAGAGCGGGAACGATTATCTGAGAATATACTAAGATAACATTACAGCTACACGTATGATGAGATCAATCGTTTAATTTGGACCTATAGCCTTTGTATCGTTGCAATTATCTATGCATACTGTTATAGCGTATCCATATCAGATTACATGAGATCATATAATAATTATATTGTTACTTTATCGACCATAAGCCCTAAAGTCACTTTGGGCCGGGAACCTCTACTTCCCTGATGTTAATTTTTAATTCAAAATATACAGTTTGGCTGGCAACATGCCAAAGAGTCGAATGGTCTGCACTGAGTAAAGGAGAGCATCTCTGGATTAAAATAATTAAATGTTTCATCACCAAAGTTTTTAAAAATAGAATAAGTTTGAGTTTCATAAAAAAGGGGCAAATCGTGGTCAAGAAAACATAAGATTGTAATACCGACCTTGCTTTCTTTCTCTAGCTCAGATCTTAACCACTCAAAGTCACTGTATCTCCTCCTGACAGAACATTCTTGAACCCGGAATATCGGCAGATTGGTCTGAAATGGGTTATATTATATACAACAGGGTGAACAATAGGTTGCTATCAGGATAACAATGAACTGTGTGGAGGTGCCTGGTGTATGTGCGGAACATTAGTACATACAGTATAGTGAAAGGAACTGTATTTGTATGATTATAGAAATCCTGTTAAAGGTCTTCTAGAGTCAAAACAATATGATTACGAACTGATCAAGTATTAATTGTGAGGTTAAGATTATCAAACTGAGTAAAGATATGACACGTCACACGTGTACTGTGTGTAAATTACACAGCTCGAATAGCACTACACAGCTCAAAAGTCAAATAGCACAGCTCAAATAGCACCGAACTTGTAATAACAATCAGTATATGAAATAATCTCTAGACACAATCAGTTTCTAGCTCACAGCTCCTAATCAGGGAAGCGGAAGTATCGATTCCGTGCTTATCATGTTTTATGATCGAATCAGACTGTGTATTGTATTACAAAGTGTCTTGAGTGGGGAGGCGGTTATGACAAACAGTCCCAGAAAACACGTACACACTCAATTACGCTATTAATCAATCACATTTGTATTTTTTGTAAATGGCTAGAAATTGAAAGGTTTGATAGCCTAAATAAGCAGCCTATATTCTGTTCTGTTTGTTTTGGCCAAAATAGTCACAGTACTTTTAACGTGATTTCAGACATTCCCAAACAAAGAGCACAAATATGTGAAATAATATGGGGGGGGGGGGGGGGGGGGGTCCAACCCGATCAATTCCGATCATTCCGATCCCGATTTTGGCCTCATCAACCCTCATATCGGAAAAATCGGGAAAATTTAAATCTTCCCTCTGAGGTTTCTAGGCGATATAGGTAGCTATTTCTGTACTTAAATATGACAAGAAATCGATTGGTGGTGGTCCCAGAACCCCAAAACGGTATCTTGTTCCAAACAAGAATCGTTTCGTCCGAAAAACAACACAATGTCGTACCAACTCTTGTTTGACAGAAACATCTACCCCGGTCCACAATTGAAAGAGGTACGGTTGGTAATAACAATCGTAACAAATAGCGAACGCTTTAGTAACTTTTGATTTAAATTGTCTCCACAATTTGTAACAGGCTATCTGCAGAAATGGGTAGCACGGTTAATGACTATGGTCCTTTCTCAAACTTCCAATCCTCAGTTAGATACAAAGAATAGTCTACACAATTTTCAATAACATTAAAAGGGATGAAAATCACTTTATTTATCAAAATCTTTATTTATCATGTAACAACTTTTCCATAGTACTGGAGAGTAAAACTCTGTTAAACAAAAAAATTCTCGGGCACATTTTGAGTCAGTAACTGTAACATGTCAATATGTTACAGACTCAAATGCGTTTAAAAACATTTTAGTAACAATAAATTGTGTAAACTGATGAGGAGGAGGAGGAGGACTGAGGAGAAGGAGGACTGAGGAGGACAGAGGAGGAAGACTGAGGAGGACCAGGACGAGCACTAGGAGGATGAGGACGAGGACTAGGAGGATGAGGACGAGGACTAAGGACGATGAGGACGAGGACTAAGGACGAGGAGGAGGACGACTGAGGAGGAGGACTGATTAGGAGGAGGACTGATTAGGAGGAGAAGGAAGAGAAGAAGGAGGAGGAGGATGAGGAAGAGAAATGAGGAGGAGGAGGAAAAGGAGGAAGACTGAGGAGAAAGAGGAGGACCGAGGAGGCCTGAGGAGGAGGAGGACTGAAGAGGAGAGGGAGGACTGAGGAAGAGGAGCAGGATTGGTGTGGAGGAAGACGAGAAGGAGGAGGACGAGAGCGAGGACGAGGAGGAAGACTGAGGAGGAGGACTGTTAAAAAGGAGAAGGACGAGGACTGAGGAGGAGGACTGAGGATGAGGAGAAGGAGGACTGGGGGAGGACTAAGGACGAGGAGGACTGAGGAGGAGGACTGAGGATGAGGAGGAGGAGAAGGAGGACTAGGGAGGACTGAGGAAGAGGAGGACTTAGGGAGGACTGAGGAGGAGGAGGACTGAGGAGGATGATGAGGAGGAGGACTGAGGATGAGGAGGAGGAGAAAGAGGACTGGGGGAGGACTGATGAGGAGGAGGACTGGGGGAGGACTGAGGAGCAGGAGGAGAAGGAGGAGAAGGAGGAAAAGGATGAGAGGGAGGAGGAGGACTGAGGAGGAGGAGGAGGACTTAGGAGTAGGAGGAGAAGAAGGAGAAGGAGGACTGGCGAGGAGGAGGACTGACGAGGAGGAGAAGGACTGCGGAGGAGGAGGAGGACTGAGGAGAAGGAGGAGGAGGAGGACTGACGAGTAGGAGGAAGAGGAGGACTGAGGAGGAACAAGATGACGACTGAAGAGGATGAGGAGGATGAGAAGGAGGACTGGGGGAGGACTGAGGAAGAGGAGGACTTGGGGAGGAGGATGAGGACGATGAGACTGATGAGGACTGAGGAGGAAGACTGAGGAGGATGAGGACGAGGACTAAGGACGAGGACTAGGAGGATGAGGACAAGGGCTAATGAAGAGGAGGAGGACGACTGAGGAGGAGGACTGATTAGGAGGAGAAGGAAGAGGAGAAGGAGGAGGATGAGGAGGAGGACTGAGGAGGAGGAGGAGGATGAGGAGGATGAGGACTGAGGAGGAATACTGAAGAGGACGAGGACTAAGGACGAGGAGGAGGCGGAGGACGACTGAGGAGGAGGAATGATTAGGAGGAGAAGAAAGAGGAGAAGGAGGAGGAGGAGTAGGAGGAGGAGGAGAAGGAGGAGGATTAGGACTGGGGGAGGACTGAGGAGGAGGATAAGGAGGAGGAGGACTAAGGACGAGGATGAGGACGAGGACGATTATGAGGAGGACAGAGGATGAGGACTGATGAGGAGGAGAAGGAGGAGGAGGATGAGGAGGAGAAATAGGAGGAGGACTGGGGGAGGACTCAGGAGGAAGAGGATGATGACTGAGGAGGAGGATGAGGACTGAGGAGGAGGACTCAGGAGGTGGACTCAGGAGGTGGAGGAGGATGAGAAGGACTCAGGAGGAGGAGGACGACTATGAGGAGGACTAAGGAGAACTGATGGGGAGGAGAAGGAGGATCAGGAGGAGAAATGAGGATGAGGAGGAGGAGAAGGAGAAGGAGAAGGAGGAGGACTGGGAGTAGGACTGAGGAGGAGAAGGGGATTGAGGAGGAGGGTGAGGAGGACTGAGGAGAAGGACGAGGACGAGGACGAGGAGTCAGGAAGAGGACTGAAGAGGACTGAGGAGGAGAAGGACTCAGGAGGAGGAAGACTTAGGAGGAGGAGGACATCTAAATGTTTTGTCTGTTTTTGTCCGCCCTACTTTTTGTCCGTTTTGAAAATACAGGGTACCGAACGGACACAAAACATGATCCCCCAGCCAAGCATGTGTTACGATACAAATGTACTTGACTATACATTTAAGGTGCAGTGTACTAGTGATATTATGGTATGTTTAAAGACCGGACCACAAAATATAACCCTAGTGTTGTACTAATACATAATAACAAGTAACAGGGATAAAATTAATGAGCAGAAACAATCAATCTCACGTCAAGAGGCCAAAGCACTCGGGTCTGGGAGTACATGACAACTCCAACTAGTAGTGAGCATACTAGCCCCTGCAGTGGAAAAACACATAAAACATACTATTGGAATGTCCAATTAGTTCGTTTTCTCATAACAATATAGCATATGTAGGGGTTTTTTATCACTTCCTCACTTCTGAGAGGTTTTAGAGATCGATTCTCTAAAATTTTTCAATTTTCCGATTTTTCCGATTTTTCCGATTCCGATTTTGGCCTCATCAACCCTCATATCGGACATCGGGTTGGACCCCCCCCCCCCCCCCCCCCCCCCCCAATAATATAGAATACAATATTATATCAATTAAGATAATAAGATAATGATCTAAGCATGAGCAGCTACTAACAATTGGGTTAATACTACATCATAACCACCAGGGTACATTGGTCATAATATATATCGTCGTGGTTTTTTCATGAGGGCGAATGTGAAAGATAATGGCCCTTAAAGTTTTAAAATTGACGTTTTTGTGTGACATTCGCCCTTCCAAAATGGCGAAAGTCAAACATTCGCCACATATTGCACGTAGAGTAGATAGAGTCCGTTAGTGTGACATTCGACCACTATTATCAAACGCTCAATGTATAACATTCGGCGTTTTTTGAAACCTCGAAAATAACATTCGCCCTTTGAAAATCTAAACTTAATACGACAGAGCTTCAAACTGTTTGGGATGTTATAGACCTTTATTAGACATATGTTTTTTAAGCCATAGTGAAATTTGACATTCGCCCTTTTGATAAAACCACCACGATAATATGTCATACCCCACATTCAAAGAATCCGTAATTAACTTGGCGCTCCAATTATTATGTTAAATAAAGAATGGTTAATAATCATTATATTGCATAATATTACAATTCACAACAATTACCTTTGGAACCGTCAAAACGCTCGCATAATCATAAATTACTAAATTACTTCGTCCACCAGATATGTAATTACGGATTACAAAAGGAGGATGCTTATAAGAAGGAATCACGGTGCCCAACTCAATACTGCAGCTGTGGGAGCATAAAATATGAGTAAAGGTTCCCTGGGTCTTGTGAATAATTATTACCCTGGCTCGTGAGCCGTATATTAATTTGACTCTTTACCCACCCTCAGACCACTTAATTATCTAAATGCTAATTAGGCAAGAAAAACGGAGCTGTATAGAAATAGCAGCCATTGTCAGATTGAAACCTGCTGTTTAATATTCAACAGAAAGTAGATCAGTTACGAGGGTCCGGGTGAGAGTCTTCTTATTCTTAGTGGCTGGCTGGAGGCATGAGCAGATATACGGTGTTGTGATTGGATAGATCGTAAAACCACGTGGTAAGGGTCTTGGCACAATCAGCTAGCACAGTTCCAGTCCTCATTTCTCATTAGCTCAGTTCAGTTAAACCGCTAAATATTTCGGTTGTTGTAAACATGTAAATTAAGTC